ACTTGACGCTAGAGAAGTTGGGCACACCTGTTTGTCTCAGTTAACAATACAGAAGGTAATTACGGGAACTCTCAAACGAAAGTCAGAGACAAAAAGCGCATCCTTTGGTTGAAAAACAGCTGTCTGCAGAGTTAGTTCATAGAAGATCTTCAAATTGTACTTCCAAAGCATAATAACAAGAAGACAGTACTCAGGGCTGAACAGCTGGTTTTATTAAAGCGACCCTGTTAGAGGAAACACCTCTTGGGATTTCAAGATGTATCCGAGATGGACGTGTCTGTGACAGAGGACGATCAATAACTACTGAATTCTACATTGAGGCAATAAATTTGCATAGATACCCTCGTGGTCTAAACGATTTTGTAAAAGCGAGCTAGAAGTTTCCATTTTCTCTGAAGTGAAAACTCCATCTGTTCAATAATAACGCAAGTTTTGGTTAGCACATACTGGAGCGGCATGATGAACCTGTGTAATGGTTGTCGGCTTCATTATTGAGAACTAGGACTTTCTCCTACACTTTCTTCACTAAAATCAAACGAATGAAAATAAACACGACAAAATCTCCGGAGGATGTATTCCGGCATAGTAACAAAAAAAAAACAAGCCTTCTTAGAAGCGGTATTTAATGAGTATGTCGGGAGTCAGATTTCGAAAGTTTGACTGTTTTCATTCCATAAGTGAAGTCAAACTACATCAACAGACCTGGAAGATCTAGGAAGATTCGAACCAGCTCCATGTTACGCCAGAAGCCACAAGTGGTTGACTAAAAGTGCTAGGGGAGCCCGATAATGACTTTGCGGGTCGGACTCGGAAACATAACTTAAACAGCAATTAGTTTGACCAGCTGAACCTGCTCGAGAAAAGTAGTACACTACGCTGCAAACCATTTTGTCTCAAATTCGTCAGTGTACGCCTTGTTTCTACAAATCCGTGGACTACTAGATGCACAGAACAGACGTCCTGGCGTTTTCTGCACTGAGATAACTGTTTTCGATCGATATTACTAGCGACATAATCAGTAGACAAACATAATTAAACAGGTCTTAGAGACCAACGGTAAACTTAGGGTGTCATAGGAACAATAAGAGCGATTTACAATTTTTGTTAACCTACCAACACAGTGTCCTTCCCACCGACCACCGAAAAGCCCCAAGAGCTTCCTGAATGACGAGTGAGTTCAACAAGGGTCTCTCTGCCAGGTATGATGGGTGGTGGTTTGGGGCGCTCCAGAGGTACGTTCGTCAAAGCACTTGGAGCTGGTGACGATGTGGCCACGGGTTTGGTGACGGCCTTGCTAGGTGATTGTGTGGCCGGTTTTCGGCGTGCAATTGTCAGACGAACACGTGTGGTGGACTGTTTCATCAAGGACAGCGTTGAGTCGTAATCGGTTTGGATCTGACCATTCACAGCCAGTATCCGATCGTTGGGGCACAGTTCACCATGCTAAGATGTAAGCAGAGAATGACTTGGGTGAAATTTGATGTTACACGTCCAAATGGAAATCAAGATGAAAGGCCGGCCTCCACTGGTAACGTATCAAAGTCTTATACAGTTTACACCAGACATGACAGGAAATGGGTCGGAAAAATAGTTACCTGAGCAGCCGCACCGTTTGGAGCCAAATCGGACACGAACACACCGGGCTTGTCTTGTGGTCCATAATTCACAATGAAAATTCCATATCCGTTGCTATTCTGGTTGTTCGTTAAGAAAGACGGACGATACAATTTTTTCAAAGATCAAAGAATTCGATGCAAAGAGCGGCACAAATTACTTAGTATTCCAACTCTATGTGCACAACGTGCTTTATACCACTAAGGAGAAATACATAGGCCTGGCTATTCCAACATGAACGTGCAAACCCTAGAGTGGACCCTGACTTGTTGCCCACCAGCGTATTTCTTAACATGCAGTAAGAAAGAACTACAAGGTTACAGATATGTTTATAAGTAACGCAATAAATTCTATCCAATGTTGGGCCTGTAGAACTGCTTCTGATTTGGAAGCGCTGAGATCTACTCCTAAGTAATCCGCTATCATGTTGTCTAATCAGAGCGATGGATGTCCGACTCTTCCATAACTTCAATGCAGATTTTATCCTGCAATTGAAGCGAACTGAGTTGAAAGGCAGCTACCAACCAGGTATCCGTTTCATCCTGATTTGTTGTTGGCGTGTAGCTGGTGTAAACAACGATAAGAGCGACTTGAATACAAAATAGATCGTTACATAGTTGCACATGAATTGACCTCTTCCACAGAGACCGAAAGCTTGCTGGACTTTAGAAGTTTTCTCACCGAGGGGATTGCCGCACTTTTGTTGCACAACTGGTCACAGGTGTAAGGCGATTATACAGTTGCTCCAGTAGGTTGGGTTTGCGCGATAAGGTTCTGCCTATCAGTAATGTAATAGTGTACATGCTTGAAGGCTTGGGTACTACACAACTGTAGCAAACTGGCAACCTAGAATGTCCAATTTACCCGTTCACTTTCCGGTTTATTGAGATACCCGTTATGTAGCGTCATGGATAAGAAACACCATCAGTGTGGCTGCCAGTGATTAGCTCTCAGCTTCCGCTGCAAAGAATCGTTATTCATAGGTTCAAATCATGTTAGGTATTACGTGACTTACACAGAGATATTATGAACAGGCTAATGTAAGCTTCACAACACGTGTACTCTGCTGTCAGACAGTAAGAAATGCCGAAAGAATCCAAAGTGATATCGTCACATGTTAGGCTTCAAACGAGGTGCAATTGTGGGGGTGGGCCAAAGTGATATCGTCACATGTTAGGCTTCAAACGAGGTTCAATTGTGGGCAGGCACTTACTCGTTGAATCTCCGTATCAAAGATGTCATAGAGATCGGGCGATTCGTCCAATAAAGCATGAACCTGGACCAGCAAGTCTTGCGAAACAGGTAGGTGGTTGACGCTTGACGTTAAAGGAATGGTACTAACAGGGGGAGTCTGACAACAAAAAGAACAGACAGAGAAGTTAGTTACCTTGCGCGGAGCAGACGAAATTCTCGCAAGGTGAAGTAAACGTACCAATAGTTCCGATTCGTCACCTGAACCGAGATGGAAAGAACTTTGCGTTCGCTCCTCTGGATGATCTAGACTAAGTCCATTGGTCAGCCCGAACGGATGCTCTGGAGTAGACCGATCGGGAGATGTTATGGAGGCCATGAGTTTCATGTTGTTAGGATTTCGGCGAACAACCAGAAAGACGGTTGGTGTGACCGGATCCTGTTCCGCAGCTGCTCGTTTGATACTCTGATACACGGCACGGGTAATGCAGCGACCAACCATTAGCCGACCCAAATCAACCACACTATTTTGTCCGACCTATAATAAAATATGGAACGGGGAACCGACAAAGAATGATTCGTCGAAAAGTGAGAATAGAGTAAAAACAAATAGCCAAAGCAAGTGAGAAAGAGCCTCACTTGCACGACTTCGTCTCCGACTTGCAAAGTGCCAGACTGCGCAGCGACAGATCCCGGAGTTAAGCCCGCCACATAAGTTGCGTTCAAGTTTGGATGGATACTTCCGACTAGATGGATCCCGAGACTTTCAAACTTGGGCGACGGCATATCACCCGAACCGTTAACCAGGGGCCAAGGAAGTTCGATTTCTACCGGAATGACCTTATCTCCAGCAGGTTCGTCGCGTTCATACAATGAGACAGGGTCTTCTATGATTTGAGAAAGAATAAACGGTAGTGAGGGCATTAGATTGAGAATATGATAGATTCTGTCACAAAGAGTGCCTAGTGTCCCGGTTCAATGAAAGTCGAGCCCAGCAAGGAGGAATTACCGAAAAACGCCGTTCGAAGCTACTCGCGCAGGAAACTTGCCAGTACATAAAAAAACGGAAAAATAAATCATAAAATTTAGTGAATGACTTCTGGACACCCATTTAAGAAACATCATGTTGAAGAAAACAACTTTCGCGATTCAATTTTTTTCAAGTAACATGGATCTTCCGTACTAATGAAATCTTTCAATAATCGGGCAGAAAACATCCAGATAGGTAGCACTCAAACTGTAACCATTTCACCTGGGAATCTGACCGCATCTGCGAAAGGTACGCGTTCTAATCAACCATGTTTTGGACCAAACCCCACAGAGCGAAGAAAATGAATGAATAGTTCGTTAACTCTGAAGGAATCTGACCGCATCTGCGAAAGGTACGCATTCTAATCAACCATGTTTTGGACCAAACCTCACACAGCGAAGAAAATGAATGAATAGTTCGTTACCTCTGATAAAAGAAAACGGTATTGTCTGGCATGGACGAACGACAAAGCCTCAGAGCAAACCTCACAGTTTATGCGATCAGACTTTATTGAAGCACACACCGCAAACGACGCTGAATTTTGTTTGAGTCCACGAATCCTTGACATTTTCGGTACTCCAAAAGATTTCAATCCCCACATAACGGGCAGAAATTCCCCTGAGCTGAGCAGTTTGGTAGTAGTAGTAGGTCGTGTCAAGAAAAGTGTACTTATCTCGATACAATGAAATCTAACTCACTTGAATTCACAGTTCCCCTAATCGTATTGAATGCGTGACGATTTGCTGGATGGTATGTATGTATCAGAGAATTGTCGATACGGTACGTGCAATGGACAAGTAAATGAGCATCTCGTTATTTCGTTAGGACGCAGACACCTCAGACACAACCAAGAACAATACCGTTGCCAAAAATGTTGCCCCAGGATTATGTAATTACGGTTGACCGTGAAAAAATAACGAAAAGGAGAGGGAATGAACGCTACTAGAACCATACAAGTACTCCAGGATACCTAAACATCTCTAAACATCTATCCAGAAGAACTGTATACAAACTGGGATCACGGGCACCACTGGTTTCAAATAATAGTAGTATCTTGCAGTCTGTAGACAGACACAGGTAGAATCAAACGAACTATATTCTGGAAGGTGAGTCAAAAGGACATACCTTGAATTTTCGTAAGAGCTTTTATATCTGTTTAACAGGCTAGTCACCGATCTCTGAAGTAGTTTGTTAATATAAGTTCTTTGTATCCTCAGACTTCCGAGGCTATGAGAGTATACAGAGACCCCTTCAGAACTCATCCGCACACAATGTGAGCAACAAGATATTGAAAGGAACACTGGAAGGCCATCAAAACCCTACTGCTCAAAGAGCTGCTGACGTGACCTTTGCGAGCAGTGGAACTGAGACTTCCACAGGTTTCTCACAACCGTTTCTTCAGAACCATAGCTTGTGTAGTTTGGTATCGGAGAATCTATAACGGGGAAATTAGAAAGCGAGTTCCCGGTTGTGCAACGGCAAATTCCATCGAAGAACGTGTCCAGCACCAGGAGCTGCTGACTAGGCTATGCATTGCACATGCCGAATCATCGTTTCCAGAAGAGAGTGCTATTTTCCGTACCCAGTTCGAAGTTGCGGAAGCAGAGAGGTGGCCAACCCTTGGCCTGGCAGAGGGGTATGAAGGAGATTACGAAACGTTTGGATGTTGTCGGTGCTGTTCGCCTTCCAGGATGGGGATCGCGTGATTCCCAATGCGCCTGGTTGGAGACGCTGCAAGATTCGGCTGCAAACCAATGTCAGTGGCGTTCTTGTCGTCAGTTTCTATCCAGACTGTCCGACTGAGTGTCTGGGGTTGTTGGCACCTCGGAATGATTGTAGTAAGCTAGGACTAAGTCCCTTACCCGTCCACCTTTATACTTTTCCTCAAAATGAGGCTTTCAAATACATCATGGTTGTACGGCAGCGAAGCATAGGTGTTGAAGACTGATGTCTTATTGTTGGTGATGAGGCTGATGATGCTACAGTCATGCCGAGCGGAAGGAACTGTTCAGAATGGTTATCACACATCTGAACCAAGTGTAAGTCGGACTTCATAATTCGAACGTCATGGGTCCGGATGTCCTTTGAATGTCATGACCTGCCTTCAACGTTCACGACGTTTATCACAAACTTCCAGCTCACATATGGTAAGGATATCCGGTGCGAAAGCCTACGGAGCTTAATCAGCATCCCGTCAACCAGTTGTGTGAGCGATTTTGGTGAATGTGTAATGCAATATATGACCAGCTGGATGATGTGATTCGTTCCCCGTAGCCGTACAGAGCCGAAATAGACGGTTTTACGTCTCTCTGAGACAAAATTAATCCACATACGGGAAGTGTCCCTTATGACCGGTAGTGTGCGAATGAGCGTTTGTTCTGTTGTTGATATACACGTCATTTTTTACTGGAAAGACTGCAAAACGTGTGCGCGTTTCGTCCGGGTTAGTGACATACGTCACCTTAGTTTAACTTAAAATGAAACGAGTTACTATTCAGTTATATTTGGTATCGATACTTCGACATTCTATTTCAGCCGCAATTTAGAAAAGAATGACCTTGATTGGCCTGAAAAAAGGATGCCAGGTACTTATTTTCAAAAATTAGACAGTTCATATTGTCTGAACAAGAGAAGTATCTTTTCTGAGAGGAGTCTTGTGAGGGATTTTAACATACAAGATTTTGCGAAGGACAAAGGAGGTGAAGTAAGGATGCGCAAAGGATGTAACCATGTGGAACGAGGCGGACTTTACTGAGTAGGCCCTATTTCGAATGAAAGCGGATAAAGTTGCATGTATAGATCTAAATAGATTGTGACAACAGTAAATACACATGATACGTGCAGACGGTTGCTCAAACACGTACTTGTAATGACTGGGAGGTTGCTGATGGAATCCTCAACTGAAAACGGTGCAGTCTCCCTGGAGAAACGTCGAGTTGGTGGGGCTGGTGGAAGTCCGGCTCCGACCCGGAAAGCGTTGACTGTCCCGTTCATATCAGTCGCTGATTTATCAGCTGACTTCACCGTCAAAGACTCGCTCGCAACTGACTCATCCGGCAGGACTGGACAGGCAAGTGACGATAAGGGGACAATATCATCGTCATCCTGCTGACCAACACCACTATCCGCGGTAGTGCCGATTCGATGAACAGGAGATTCGATGGAGCGTGACAGAACGTTAAGTTCATCACGTGAATCCATTTCACTCTATCATGAAAGTGGGTGGAGGGAGGGTAACGAAAAGCACTGAGAGAAACCATAGAAGACAGCGAAAAGTTGCTGTTAGCATGTTCGAACGAAATAAATAATCGGAGGAAGTTTATCAAGGGTAACAAACAGCTGGGAATGAACGGGTTTCGAAACTACTCAAAGATGGTTTCACTACTGTTGCAACATTAATGCGCATACAACACATTCAGGTCTACATTTTATGTTATTGGAAGGATGACGCCTATATGCGTTTAGTGTGTGCAGCGATGAAGCGAGGTAGAAAGGACACCAACTTCATCGGTTCGGTCTACTGGTGATTTCACTTGACTAGTCAGCTCAACACCTCGTCAGAGCCGATGTGAGACGATTCTACATACGAAGGGTTTAATATGTTCGTCGTTCGTATCTCGGATCGCAACCGGCAAGCCTTATTGAAGTGACCTCATCCCCTGCAGGAGACAGTTGCAATAAAGTGAGGGATTGAAGAGACAGGGAAACTTCTGATAGTTTGGAAAAACGTAACTGCAGCTAGCACATATGCTTTGAGTGACAAACACTGCTCAGCTCTGTTTACACTTGGACACTGATATGTCAACCCATAAAAAGTGGTTGGTACTATACAACTGATAGCATATTTAGAGACGTGATAGAAGAATCTGGTTAAACCATGTGAAATATGACTGTTTGAAGTGAAAAAAAGGAATCGAATCTGCTACACAGAATACCTGACGAATGAAGTTCGAAAATCGCGGTGAAACTAAATGTGCGGTCACGATGCCCACAGAATAGAGGCACGTCCCACCGAATTACCAGTGAGCTCAGAAGAATAGCAGGATTCGAAGCAGAGGAGAGAAACAATCTGTCTATTCTTTCTATCATATCGATACTGGGATACACGGAGGGAACGGATCAGTGTCCTGTCTTGCACTGAATACTGCTCGATTACGATGACTAGGATTAATGTCATTACTCAGAGTATGCTCTACGCAAAACAGCTACAGTATGGGCTGCTTTGTCACAGGTGTGAAAGTATAGAGGGACGGCCATCTTCAAGAACACAAACTCACTTGGTGGGTAGCTGAATATGTTCCGCATGAGGCTATTGCGCCTCTCGTCGATCAAATGAACGGCGAACTGTTAGTGTTCTAGCAGAGCAGTAGTTCTCATCGAACCACTCACCCCAAGTAAATTCAGCCTCCTCTACTAAAGTTTAAATATTTCATCACAGATACGAACCATTTACCTTGTCCTTCTCCAACACAACTTTCATCTCGGGCTCCCCAGCCTTTTTCGGTCTTGATATTCAACTCCACAAAATGCCAAGTTGATGTGCACCACCCCACACTACTATTGCGTTTCTATATGCATTTTGCTATTTCTTCAAAATGACTTCGACGATGAGACCCCCCTCCCCTGTAACCCAATTGCGTGGCAACGTCAGCGAAGTGCTGTGTAACTGGTTCGTCACTCATACTGAGTTCCAGAGACAAGACAGTTGATCGAAAATTGAATCGATCAAGCTGTCATAGCAGGAAACCAGTTTGTCCTGTTGTTAGCGAGCTGCCGATTAGGCGGTAAAATTTATTTGATTGCACTCAGACAATCAGAAACTTGAGAAAAACCTCACCGCACGAATTTAACACTGACGTGTCAGAATCTCGAATTCAAGATAAACAAACGTTATATCATCGCGCGAAACAAGTTTGCACGCACTTATCAGTCGGCTAACGACCACCGAACTGGTTTGGGTTAGCGCGAAGTAAAAAACCGTACGAAATACGGTTGACGAGAAAAAAGGTGCCACGGAGAGTTGATCTGACGAACTGAAAGAATGCCGCGGACAGTATCCGCAAAGTGTCACTGAACATTTGATAAAGTCAAGTATGTTTATGGTTTTATAGGTGTGGTTTTTGGGCGGACACTAGTGCGGACGGCGTTAGTGCACCTAACTTGAACTGAATTGCACGTCCCTTTGGTCATGCTATAATCGACTATCTTAGTTCAGTAGAATAACCGAATTAGCTGGTAGTAATGCGTTAGTGCAACTTATCAGGCTCAAACTCAGACTGCACTAGAGTGAGCTAATCCTTAGGAACAATGCATATTAATACATGCATACATGCACGCCATTAGAAAAAGACACTGTTGAACAAAAAATATGAGCTCGAACATAGAACGAGATGTCGATATTCAAAGGGCAGAATTTTGATTATGGCTCTCCTGATCTATACAGGATGCTGGTGAAGTAACAAATAGCTAGTCTGCGAGCATCATTCTGCTGTAACACCCTTCCGGTGCCTAGCTGCCATGCCACCCGAAGGAAACACGAGGTCTGGGATAGTACCGGGTTGCTCAAGCCCATACAGGGGAAGTCGAGAGGCAGAAGTCGACTTCGAACCATGGACCTTTCGGTCAGCAAATTCGCGCTCTAACCACTAGAGCTGTCTCTGTGAACATTTAGGTGCTACAAATGATGCTGCCGCCGCTCAGTAACGTTTAACCCAAAGAGATCATGTAGAGAAGGGTAGGGCGTCGAATGCATCACAAAGGTCCATTAGATTGTCCCACCAAAGCCCTATCTGAACTCCAGTCAAGAGAGAACGTCAGAGTTGAATGTGTTTCAGGGTAACCCCTCAAATTGAAGAAGGGTAGAATAAGGTTAAAACGTGGGAAATCAAGAAAATGAGTAAGGGTGGGACCAAAAGAGGCATAAAATAAACGGCCGGTAGGAGTAACGAGGAATGGAAGTAGGACCTCTGTGGCGACAACTGAACACATGTTTACTAGAAATAAACCCACGCAGTGAGCTTACACAGCGATACTCAATGGGGCCTAACGCTTATGGTACTATTCAACTAAATGTGCTGCGCATAAGCCGTATGTGTTACGGTTGGAATGAATGATTTCCTATCCAAAACACTACTTATAAAGTTGACGAAAACTCCTAGACACTAAATTCATTTGCGTATAACCCCGCTTACGTATAATTTGGTGTGCGAGTGGGAAATAAGACTGAAGCAGACATGGAGACCACACCCACCAGTCAATGAGAACTAAGAAGGCTGAAACTGGCACTAATAGTCAAAGGAAGAAGACCTTCGCTGCGGAGTACCATCGTTACAGTAGTAGGTTTTCGAAGTGTCTTCAAAGACCTCACAAGCCGTGTTTGTTGTTTACAAATTATCCTTTCATAGGTCCTCGCGTTTCATATCAGAATTAGTAAATACCGTATCAATCCAAATGGCGGTACCATCCGACGTTTGGCTTGACCGAAATCATATACTGACTATTCATCAGCATCTAAATGTTCGAACTATTACTGGTTCAGCAGTGCACATTGAACAGGTGCCACGCCACCCACTGGTTCGACCACCGAGTGGAAACGAGGGTGAGGTGCACCCGGCTAGGCAACCCACTGACAACACAATAGCGGGGATGGCCTTGCGTAAAATTGACCAGTGACACGTGAATGCGAAACGATCCGATCATTTTGTTGTAGACTAAGGTTGGTTGCACTGAGGTTTGGTCGGAGATTTCCCAATTTGCGTAAGCTGTTGAATGGAGCAACCTAACACGTGGTGCGGGTGGGAGCGAAAAAGTAAAGGTTTAGAGGTGAACTCAAACGCACCAACGGCTCTGGCGCTTCAACTTGGCTGAAGCTTGAGGGAGAATCTTCCCGATCCAGTTCGTCAATACCTTTGCTGAATCGTCTGTCTCCGGGTGCAAGCGACTGGCGAACGAAAAAAAACAACGATTATTTCACTAAACAGATTGCAAAACAGACGAGTGGTTAGATGAAATAACCCAAAGTATACCCGATTTAAACAAAGCTCATGCACAACCAACAGCAACCTGCTCAGTAAAGGTTATTGCCAGGAATACAGTGATGTAAGGCGTGACAAGAGAAGTCGCCCAGGTTACAGGACGGCGCCCGTAGAAACTGATCCGACCGTTCCGAAGATCATCTAAATGCTCCCACTATCCGCTACCGAAGGATTTTTCGTGGCAGTGAATGGCGAGGGTGAATGTTCGGTTGTTCAACCAGGTTAACAGGCCAGTAGTTATCTATCCAGAGAGGTTGTCTGAAATAGTCAACATCCTGATATCAAACCATCGCGGCTGGCATACAAAGCGGATTTGACTATCTTCACGTGTGGCGTTTGGTTTATTTGACTAGCCACCAGTAGTCAGATGATCGCCTAAAACAGTCCACAGTTGGTTGGACCAAACGTCACATCCGAAGTCAAATTTATCAACCGCACAAGTTGATCGGCAGACTGGTGGTTCCGAGATCACGGTCAGTCAAAGGGTCACTCTGGCTGCCGCACATTGATGGACGTGTGAACGAAGAATGCAGTGAGCGTCCGCAATGGTTGTCGGCACCTCAAATGACACTCCGATCGCCATGACCACTGACAAATCAGTCGATACTGTCGGACTAATGAACAAATTGGTGCTGCTCAAAAGAACCGGACAGTCATGCCATATTCTCCGCACCTTCGGATCAGACCAATCCCCTGCAGTCAATTGTTCAAACTCTCAAGTCATTGGCTTCGGATAGGGTACCACAAGAAAACTAAAATGCGTTACATCGCAGGATAGTGTGGAGCCAGAGGTTACTAGCAAGGAGCCAGAACGAAGCCCTGTCCGCTCCCACGGTAATGCGAATCGGGCTCCGAGTAGGCTCACTCAAACAATTTTCCTTCTTCGACCTGAACACCCGGGTAGTAACATCCGCTAGTGCAAAGTAGAAGTAGTGGCGAGTCACTTCAATTTGTCGGCTTTAACTGTAATTACTCCCCAATGTCAATACGATCTCGTCTGACTGTCTTTGCGGGTCGTGTTTGTTTGGGGAGGTTCTACTGGAAGAGACTACAAGGTAGACAAAATATACTCTAGAGACGAAGCATGAAAAGTAACATAGGGCCTTGGCCGTGCTTGTTCACGTCACCTTCGAGGCTGGGGTACCAGAGATGAAGTAATACTATATTTATGCTCTGGTTCTTAATTACTAACCCGCTATTCCTCTCCCATTTATCTGTTTTTCTGTTCGTCCTGCAATATACACTGTCATCAGCTGGAGTGACTCAACGCCGCGTACGTGCAATAAAACCCACGTTGTCAAAACGAACTGAACTGAATGTTCGTAAATGTGAAGCAAGTGATATACGCCACGAAGTGAGCGTGGTAGATTCGTTGAAACACTTACGTTAAAACATTCGCAACTTTTACTCGACCTGATAAATGTTAAGGCATATGCGAGTAGGATAGGACAAGCACGTCACAAGATCCAAAGAGAAAGTGGCAAAAGACCCGGGTTGTTTTCTGACAATTAAGACAGCAACCATGTGATGATACTGAAAATCACGTGTAAAAAAGACAACTACACGAACGGGCACTCAAGTGATGCGATCACCCAAGAATGGAAGTGGTGGGACTCACGTGAGATCGGTCGGCGAGGCTACTACGTCGTTCAACTTCGGCAACCGTTGTGCTCTTGTTGTTGACTTCTTCGGATGTCGGTGCCACGGTGGAGAATCGCACTCCGAGAGACACTTGCGTGGTACCCTGATTGAGGAAATCCTGAAGCAAGTGGCGGACGTATGCTGGACCCGCATGAACAACATCCGTATCAGCAATCTGAAGATGGTTACAGACCGGAGCGTTATTGGCTGTTAAAAAGGTGGGATGTGTGTTACAGGAAGGGGGGAGTGTAGATCGAGTGGCTTGTTATTCTCCTTGCTGTTATAATGAGGACTGAGGAGAGCATTCTTCCAAATCGATTCGGCAAAGCAGTGGATGGTTTATCTGTGCTACAGACCTCGAAATTTGTACCTTAGGATTCTCCTTGCATGTTGCAAATAAAATGGAGCTCCTATGGAAATTTTCATCTTTAAACTGTTTCAGAAATGACGAAAATATATCAGTTGCCGATTCATTCACCACGTTACCAATTGGTTTACTTCTCTTCATCACCAAAATCTTAGTATAATTGAGGATAAGTGGTCGATCAGATTGAGAGAACGCCCATTCAGTGGAGCTTAGTCCATGACTAATTTGCTTTGTACTGGTGCTGTATATGCGGCCAACAGCATGAAACGGTCAAACAAGGGATTACAATCAAACTCTTTACAACTAGCCAATGAGTCTCAGGAAGCACAATATAGCTCGTTGGGATCCGACCCATCTGTCCTATTAACATTCGGTTACATTCCAACCCAATGGTTTGGTACACATCAGTGTCCTGGTGACAACAGAGAATTACTCAGACACAAAAACCGGTGGACGGCTGGTGCAACCGACTTCCTTGCAATCGAACCAGCCAAAGAATACTGCACCGTGCAGAACCTCATTGCAGGGCGGAACCAATCATGCAGTTGTTGAGGCCTGCGAAAGAGTACAAAGAAAACCTGCTCACACATGCCACCAGCTGCGGACGATATTTTAGTTCCTCTTCCCAACGCACTCAACTGTTCCGTTTCGCCGACTTCGCATGAAGTGTGTTTCGGTTCACTGTCCACCTGAGCGATTGCTCAATCATAAATTCTGAGAAATCAAGACGAGCCTGACTGGTCACTACGGAGTGCACTGTATGACTGTTAAGTTGTAAGCGCAGGGATCAGGTGATGTAAGCAATATGGGACATTGTAATGTCGTACCAATTCTAACCACTCAGTAATCGATCGTTGACAGTTGCAATAAGCGTTTTCGAGCTCCGAAACTTTCACGCTATCGCCCCCATCAACTACTTTTGCCCAGACTGGTGAGGGCGACCAACCCAACTCTACGGCAACTTCTCGTAGAACCAGTTGAAAACAATTGATATCGAGATTTCCATAACATTAATGACCATCTTTCGGTTAAAGTATCTATTCATTGGGTAAAAAGTTTATCCTCGCTTCTATCAGCACAGGTGTAAAGTATATTAGCTAAGCGTTGAGACGTACTAGAAAACGAGTTGATCGCCACAGTGGTATTAGTGCACACAGATATTCCTGGCCTATATTGGCTACATTTGACTGGTGAGGAAGACGTATCAATCACAACGGTAGACTTCGGAAAGCAAGTACTCCGAAATTTTCTATCTTAATATCAGAATAAGGGATATCAGAAGGCAAGATGTTTATCCGCACTATTGAACAAAAACATAAGGAGGTCCTCGCCTAAAATGCATGGGGGGATGACTCGTTCGCTAGTATAGGAATGTGGACTAATGTGTAAAGCAACTTGCGTCAACTGACACATTCACTGAGGAGTGGTGCGACCTTTTAAAGTCACAGAATCAGTGTATGGTTGGAAGCAAAAATATTCGTCGGTCGGCGTCTGAACAAAGATTACTGAGTGCCTTCAGTCGTACAGGCCAAACCCAACATTCTATCCAAAGTCATATCGAAGCACAGAGCTCAACCAAATTAAAAGGTGCGAAGGAAGAAAGCCATACATCTTGATCGATCAATCTGACAAATTGTGCTGAATATCCCGCTCTGTTCTATTTGAGTATCAGGAACGACATCCGCCCCTCAGATTGTCTTTTTCGCCGAAACAGAAGCAACGATCAACTTGCTGTCCATAATTCCACCCTGAATTACACTAAAGTGCCTCTCAATCACTCTGTCTTCCACGTGCCACTAACTCGTCCCTCGTCGTCCACACCTTGGGGAAAGGCATCATGAAATACCCAGATATATCCTAGATGAGATTTTTCAGTAGTACGTGCGCACAACTCGCCAATGATATTCACTTCTGCGACGCACATGGAAGTGCATTGCGCGCTTATACACAAAACTGAACACGTCTAATTATTTCTGACATTCAGAACGTACACTATGCGACCTTATCATGCTAGGCACGAGTTCAGCCCAGAACCACCAGGTTCATCATGTGCCTTGTGGTCCGTCAGTCCAAGTTGCCGTGAACTTCCTACCTGCACTCCACCAGCCAAGGTCATAACGCAACTACACGCCAGACGGAAAACTCATTGTCAAGCTTGAAGGGCAGGTGTCCGAACTGCAGCTAGCATCCGTATTGAGAACAATACCCACGCACTCATCGTGTACGGCAGGATGGTTTCACGTATTTCAATGAAATGTTCGCAAGAGGAAAACTAGCAGCACAAGACCTGAGAAGGAACAGAGAGTCGATTGGGGCACTCAGGTACGATCGTCCCAATTTGGCGAACGAGTTCAGGTCAACCCAATGTTTACAAGCAACCTAGGTGAACGTTTTCAACCTTTTAGCGTCTGACGGGTATCTTGCTGTGACACGGAGAGTTGAGCTATGTAGCATGGGTCGAAAACGTTGATCGCACTTCGCTGTCTAGTTCGCCAAGGTTAAGGAATTGCTTTGATGAACTAGTCCAAAAACCTAAAAACCATTTTTTGACCATGAGACACTGCACAGGGATATGCGCATTTAATTGTAAATAAATAGACTGCAGAGTGAGATCTGAAGAATCGTAGGCGCGCGCCAAATTCACATTGCTGTGGTACGTCGCCATCCATTTTGGCGGGAAAGTGCATTTTGTCTGGCAGTGTCAAAATCAAATCGACCTTGGGATGTCGGTAAACTCAACGTGAAGAATGATCAAAACCACGCAATGGTTCGACACAAATGGAAGAACCCTACCTGACTGCACACATTCTGACAAAAACTGTAAGCGACTGTTACTAGTGAGTGCAGCAGTAATTAACCAAATACTAATGACGATTGAAACTTAGGTGCTGTAGGCGTCCCCACGTAATCGCTTCTGAACAGAACGGACATCAAACGATAGATAAACCATTCAGTTCATTGGGTATTGGCTTAAAAGCCGCGAAAAATGCGGACACACAGAGTGAACAGTAAGAGACACAGGTACAACACCAAAACCCGGAAACGCGTGAAGATATCACCGACACCTTTTTGTGACAAACTTGATGGCGTGAAGTTTCAGAAAAATGACCGTAAATTCAGCGTGTGGTCACATGCAAATGCAGCACCGGTGGGGTGTGCACAACCGGAGCACACAAGAGCATGAAATCAATCGAACAGTCGAACGAGTACATGCACTGTGAGAAGTGTAATATGCTAATGGACTGAACCGAGCACTAGTTCACCATTATTCTGGGTCAGTGTAGGCGTGACTTTTGACGTGAAGTCAACAAAAAGGAAGTGTTTACACCCCCTCTCCCTAGTAGTGTTATAACATCATTATGTACCTGCAGTTAGACACTTCCACGGCGATAATAAGGAGCGATTTGTCCTCAGGCACCAACCACCCTGGTCTATCTTCTCTAGCATTAGGGAAAAGTTGTACTTTAGGATAATTTATATTCATGGCTAATCACCGAACTACGACACTCTCGACAGCGTCCACTACTCCGGAGCGGATGAATCAACTAACAACGTAAAGGGTTTCGGTCGTATATGTTCGTTGATTATTGGGTAATAGTGGAGTGTGGTTTTCACAGAGGTCCGATATGACAAGGGTATATTGAAGGACCAGGTAAGTATTGGTAAACCCGATATGAAATTGGCCTCCACGTGTCGACAATGAAGCTCGTCACCGGAAGCAGCACTAATTCGCAGCATACGTAGATATGGTACGGAAAATCCATAAACCCAATTCATCTTGTCTCAGATGAAAACTGACGTACAATAAAGTGAGGTGAACGCAGAAAGGTGGCATTAGACAGGTATATAGATTTATCAAACGACGAGGAACACGCAGAAAATCCAGAAGTTTATCACCTGAACAATTTTATACACACGGGGTCACGGTCCGGAAAACCAAGTGAGCTCTCCACTAAAGAGCGATCCGCTGGCAAGTCCACGATAGCTTTTCACACTAGCCACGACGCAATGTTCGACTTCTCTCCTACCAAAAGTAAGTCAACTACCTCCTTTCCTCGGGGATCCTATCCATCAAATGCACATGAAGAATAACTGCTTCGTATGGGTTGACGAGATATTTTTGCTCGGGATAATTTATTCTGGTACATGCGGCTCCCGGTTTAGATATGTTTGTCCCGGTTCTAAAGGACGGAAGTAATAACAGCTTTGTCCACAGCGAGGGTATTCTTGACAACATTCACTAGCCAAATCTACTACACACCGTAATTCGGACACCCATGGTATATTTCAGTCAGTTACCCATGAAGTAATTGACGCGGTTGTACTCTTCTGAGTACATCAGCTTCCAAGAAAATAGCACTTATCGTTGGTCTTCAAAGGGTCTTCTACCAGAAAAGGAGAAATTCATGTTCAAGCCCCTTTGTGTCGACCATTTCAGCTGGTTTCCTCATAGGGAAGGAACCAAACAACCTTGCCGGAATTTCACGCTATGGCGCTGTTGCTGGTTTTTCTCCGTTTTAACTATTCTGCATTCCCATTCCTATTTCTTGTTCAATAGTTTAATCCGTGATAGGCATTTGCTGACCTTCCTGTGACTTGCTCTTTCACACACGAAGCTATTTGCTTGCACTGTGAGGAAAGAATCTGTTTCAGACGGTCTCAACTTTTGAGGTTCTTGGATCAGTCAGGTCGAGCTTAGTGCTGGGCACAACTGCAGACTGCTATCGTCTAACCTGCTGTAAAAACAGCGGACACTATACTTGAGATCAAGTGACGACTAGTCCGCACTACAGCTGAGCGCTTTTAAATAGCACTATGAACCTACATCTGGATGACCCATACTAGAATACCACGTGTTGAAAGTGGCTGACAGCCACATCGGGATCAGTGATACACTTGTTGCTTCATAAAAGGACGCAAACTTATGGGGTTTACATCTGATAACGTTACCCCTGAGTCGGAATGAGAAAGCTCTAGGACAGTGCAAATCGGTCAGTGTCGAATGTGGAAAAATTGTTGTTCAGTGGAATCGACCATGTACCGGTCATCTCACATTTAAGGAAACGTGTGCAACTCGTCAACCAACATAGAAAAACGGCTACCAAAAGAACATCAAAATTTCATTTGCATGATCCATCAAAAACAAAAAAGTGTAAAACCGTCTAATCTACTAATGTAAGCGTCTTGGCGAACGTGAAAATCCCCAAACGGCTGAATAGCATGATTGTTGGTAGTGTGACAGGATTCAGGAATTTTAGCGGAGATTTCTTCGTGAAAGTGAAGCCAGTCTATTCTGAAAAGCGAAGAAGCACTGCACAACCGTTTCAGCCGTACTGGAACTGGTCTTGAGCTTTCAAACAAGACCGGCTGATCAGCGGTGCGATCAACTCGCCGGATATAGTACCGCTCATTCTGTTCCGTGCTTTCAAGATTTTCAGCGCGAACGGCTCCACTCAACGGACGAAATCTCCATTAGAATGATGGCAAGGTGGGTGTTTAGTGAAAAAAAAACTAGGCAAGGAACCCTGAAAAACGGAGCCATTTGAGTCACAAATCATCCGAAAACATCATTCAGCTGTACACCGATACTCAACATAAATATGAAAGAATATTTGCCCGCCTGCCACTCACTCATCGTGGTATACACTTTCGATTACGCAGCCTCTCAGTAAGTAAAGTATTCAGTCAGATACAGCTTCCACGCACGGTGGGAATGTCTTACGAACCCACGTGTGTGCACACCTGTTGAGTAGATCATGTGTACTTTTGGTGAACAATGCAGATAGCCAATAACTTGGAAAACGCTCAGGTTTATAGTTCATGAGATGTGAGAATTCAAGCTGTTCCGATGCCTCCTGTTCCACCCGCTGGGGTATACCGAAAGGCAAGTTAATCTGACAACTTTTGTGGAACAAGGGAAAACTAGTACGGCTATAATTAATCAGCGACCACAGAATTATCCGTATGGTCATGCCACGATGTCAATAGTTGAACGATAGACGATACGCTGAAGAGGGCTCGACATTGACGCCTAGGTTCTGGCCAATCAGGGTAAGCCGCCACGGAAACGTGCCGGTTCCCTGCGCATCCATCAAATGGACATGGTGCTCGGCCAAACCGAGTAGCCCGTTCTGGTTCCCGACAAGACAGGTGCGCAACTCTGTCTCAGTACTTGACAGCAACGAGTTGACCCTCAATGCTAGTCTCTGTTAAGGCTGGCATGACCTATAGGGAAGACAACTGAAAACATGTGGCTTGATGCGATCAATTCAGACAAAAGATCTGGCCCTGCATTCTGGCCATACGGCCCGACCCGTGAGTGACAGAGATCAAATTACGCGTCGAAAAAAACTGATGGGGTAATTTATTGGACCACATGTGAATAATTGCGGAAATGTCTATGTTACCTTGAGGATGATATCACCCGGCTGAAGACAACCGCAACGTTCGGCTGGACTGTCCGGTTTGATTGACTGGACACACGTTGGGTTGAACAGATGGGCTTTTACGTTCTCTGGAAGAGCTGGTAAATATTCTTCACCTGGATGGATAAAGAGGGAAATACAGAAGAATAAAGTGAAACGACCTAGAGACAATGTCCAGCTACTTCCATCGCTACATCCGAGTCGACGTTCAATGACGACTGGGAGCCTATGACGAAGTAGACCAAGATTAGAGATAAAAGTACACAGATGGATCAGAGTTGGATGAGACAGACTAATCGTGGTGCCGAAATGAAGTAAAACCTGTGGTAGTTAGCGTACAATTGCCACTGGACATGATTCGATCAGACACGCGGCTTATCAACCCAACATGTGACGTCCGATTTCATCAACCATGCTGACAAACCGTTTTGTCAGCCTCTAACATCCGTGTCCATATCGACGTGTACAACCACACAACGAGCGAAGCTGAGTGTGGTTGCCTCCGTGCGTGAACAAGGTGAATGACTGGAGTGCTGTCCGCCTTACTTCATGCGTCACGAAGCGAATGCGTCACCACATAATCACAGTGGACAGCAGACGCGGAAGTTTCACAGGAATTCCGAGGAACATGAGGCTAGCTGTGGAGACAATAATTGGGAAAAGGTGCGAAAAAGACTCGATCAATGCAAGTAGTATGGCCCTATCAGATGATGATCGCCCAATTGTCCATTTCCTTCTTCTTTTCACATCTTCAACAGTCTTAGTTACGGATTTTCAATCCCCTATGTCCTGCTTAACTCATATCAATAAAGTCAGTTGGTTTCCAAAGAAAAAAGCTTGCGATGCAGTGAAAAAAAGCACACTGCTCAAACATTGCTCGATGCTCCATGAGGTCGGAACACGTGAGAAAACAGGTTGTGAACATCCCGGTTGGATCGGACAAAGTCTGAGGAACAGGCAAAATAGAGAATCTGTCGTGATCATTTGAAGCGGAACTAAGGGTTGCATAACTTCATACCTGTCAAACACGTACACACAAGAATTTAGAGAGTGAGGTTTTATACGGACAAAAACAAAGGGGGAATCCGGTCAAATTCAGTGTGATGCATCAACAATCGACAACCACAACAAACAGGCTAATGCATTCGCCGTACTCCTGTGTGATTACAAGTGATTGTTTATATAAACATACAGACGGAACGACTGCAGAGACAACCTGAAATTGAATGACCAAACCGGCACGACAGGGACTAGAATAGTGATCCTGATGCTGCCGAGCAAGGGAATGCAGCGGTTTTTGTGACGGTGATAAAACCAAGCTACCTGGTTGTTGCACATAAAACTGAATATGGAACTGGGCGGAGTTTCATGGAAACAGTTACCACTTTTACAAAGATATGCTACTCGTAGAAATGAACGTAAGCTAGACGATAGACTCAGTAGCTAGAGCGCAAATCTACTGACCGGCAGATCCGTGGTTCGAACCCGACCTCAGCCTCCCGACTAATCCTGTCTAGGCTTGAGAAACCTGGTAGTATCCCTGCCCTCGTGCCGCCTTCGGGTAGCATGGCGGCTAGACATCGAAAGGGTATTACAGTTGAACGACTATTATTATTATTATCTTATAAACGTAAACAGTTGAACACGCGAGGATTTGACATGTTACCTGTCATCCTAGACAACGTGTACTTTTAAATCACAGTATTTGATACGCTGAAAAACAGACGCAACATATGCTCCAATCGATCGTTTCCACTCAGGTCATTGGGTGCTTCGTTGGTCATACTGCCTAACTGTACTTTACTTGAGGTCATTCCTACCACCAAAAGTACACCAATACGGTGTGTAGTGGAACTGAACTATTCACATCTTCAGAAGTGAAGATTGTACTTTGTAACGCTTCCGGTTGAGATCCACGCTATCTGCCCCATTTATACGAACAGAGGCACGGCTATCCATGATAAGAACAGTCAGCCGTCGTTGACACTTCGCGCCACTTCTGAAGACCGGACAGACGGTGGCCGATAAGCTGGAGCGAGGCAGAAACCACGGTGCTCTGTCCTTCATATAAAGTTCCAATTTCGCCTGCTCATAAGGGGTATGGATTGCGGGAAAAATAAAAAAGCTTGTATATTTTGCAACATGTAGTCATATGGGTCTAATTAGCTTGTTTCTTAGTGGGACAGTATGCACGCAAGTATCCAGCAAATTGAAATGAAAAAAACTGATTTCTGCTTCAGTGACAAACGAACCGAAGTTTACAACTTGTTTGAAAAAACGAATCCATCAGGATTTAAGGGTATGATATTTCGAACAAAGGAACGGCTATGTATACTGCTAGTGGATGAGGTGACCGATTACTTCATTACTTGTCTGGCCTACGTCATACGGTTCCAGCTGAACGGATCTAAACGCAGAATTTTACGACATTTGTCCTCGCCACTGAATACGTGACTGATGGAAATGTCATCAACCAGGAGTTCACGATCCATACTTCTGCAGAAAGTGACCTTTGTAAAGTGGCTGCAGTCTTTGGTGAGCTGCTTGAAAGCGGCCGAAATAATCGCCATAGGTGATTTAACGATCAAGAACACAAAACTAAGCAGGAGAAATGGCCGGTTCGTGCAGGCCCGAGAGTTCAACGGTTAAGGCATGAATTTTCTGATCGGAAAACCCGTGGTTCGAACCCAACCTAAGCATCTCGACTGTGGCTGTCTAAACTGTCGGTATGTAGGAATCACAAGAAACTTTATAAGATTGTACATTAGAGGGGAACAGGATGGACAGTAAGGCACTGGTTGCGAAAGTTGTAAAAAAAGAGTGATCAAGAAAGATGAACAGCTAGCTGTTCAGAGCTTTGAAGACCTATTAACTTACCTAGGCAACGGAACTAGCCAGGGATTCTATATATTCAACCTCATTTCGTGACTGAGCCTCATGGACTACTGATACCAGGCTCGGTAATCCTAACGGCTTTACATGTTTGTTGGATGCCGTGGTTGAACAGCAGGACAAGGAAGCGCGCAGTAACCGAATGCATCCTGTATTTATTATGCCTTCATCTGTGATAACACACCAGTGGAACGTCAGTGAAACGGTGGCGTAAGGCACACAGATAACGCCTAGGGTGGCTGGTGATCCTTGTGAATTTTGTGGATATAATGAGATATCGGTTTCAATGGCGTGCGAAGCTTTTATGCACGCAGCGAACTGAATAAGATTTGTCAAGGTACCTGAGGACAATCCGGGGACGCCATGCATCACACACACACACACACAAACAGTGGCGTAGAAACAACACATCAACGTTTAGCCCCGGAGGATACCATGACTCGGGACATGTAGCCAACTGTCACTGCGGTGAAAATGATTTGATCAGGGATCCCAATGTATAAACATATTTATAGGGGTGGCGAGAGATTCTCTTACTTTTGAATATGGGTCGTGATGCCATAGAATTCGGACGACCCGGCACTGCGCAGAAAAGTGAGGTTAGTTGCCGTTAAGAGGCACATAAGCGAGAAAAGTTAAAAAATCATACAGCTGTAATACCCTTTAGGTGTCTAGTGCCGCGCTGCCCGAAGGAAACACGAGGGCTGAGATACTACCAGGTTGTCCAAGCCTAGACGGGAGTAGCACGGGTTGTCTGGCTCGACAATGGCACATCTTATCGTAGAAAACGTCAAACAAGTCAGCTAACCAGATAAGTATGAAGTCTCCCATAAACACGGCGCACATTCTTCTGCATGTTGCTTAATGGTTGAAAAAGATGCTATAGTAGAACTGGAATCAGATTACGCCAATTGCTGCACATTTTCATTCATGGGTCGATAAAATTAGTTCAGCCAAGCACATCAAGCAAAGTATCCAACCAATCGGGTTCGGTAAAAGTCAAGGTTATCAGGATAGGATGAATCTGAGTGGAAAGCGGCGTTTCAACATCAGGCACAAGGCGAGATGGTTCAGTGGTTAGAGCGCGAATTTACTGACCGGAAGGTCCGTGGTCCGAATCCGACCTCTGCAACTCGACTTCCTCTGTCTAGGCTTGGGCAACCTGGCAGTATCCCAGCCCTCGTACTTCCTTCAAATGGCAGCTAGGCACCGAAAGGGTGTTACAGCTAAATGATTATCTTTCTACTGTAACAAACGAAGAGTTTACAGATCTGGGTTAGTAAGACAGTGGAACGCTGACTAGTACGAAGGGAAAACTCACCAGCAAGATTTAGGCCCCACGAAGATTCGTCCGCGTTTCTGCTAATGATCACTTGCTCAATGAAACCAAATGGCTCTGTGTACGATTCGGCTCGACCGTTCTTTTCGGAGTCCTGTACGAAGCTAGGATGCGGAAACCGAAATTGGTGAAGTTGAAATAAATAGAATGTTGTGCAAAAAATGCTGAATCAATCCAGGTATCCCTTTTGAACTTGTCTGCAAGAATACACCGTTTGGAATAGCACTGGCTGGTTGAAGTCATTGTCAACATCTCGTACCCAGGTGGCACTCTCTCTACAAAACCCATTCTGGTGCCCTATCCGAAGGGTACCCCCGAAGGTGTTTCCAAGACGAGAGCGAAATGGCTCAGTCGTAAAATATGTGCCTTACGGGAGATAGGACGTCTCCAGAAGAGTTTCTTCGGAGAACAGCATACCTAGCTTATCTCGATGGAAAAGCGTTTACCATGTATGTGGCAACCGCCAGTGGAAGAACTGGCCGTTCAAGGTTATCTCGAATGTCATACGCGCTAAACAGTTCAGCAAAAACTTTAGATAGGTCAGAGGCAATGCGCTTCGCTTAGTGGTAGCCGCTGAACAGTGTTAGTCATGTTCGCCTCTGATCAGCCACCGTCTCTCTGCCTTATAGTGTCGTAATACAATGCCAGTAGATTGAAAGTAAAGAGGACAGCAGTTACGACTCTCTACTTCAGTTCACTAATGTCGATGTCATTGGACAATTTCATCGCTGCTCGAGACCACGCGTACCACGATCAGAAGCGCCCTCATTGTCACTGTGAAAGCCGACCCAGTAACTACGACAACATGAAAGAATTAAAAGAAAGTTGAGATAGATCGCAATTCTGCAATACCAAAAAATTACAAAATGGGTAAATTTCCACCACTAGGATGCATTTTGGGACAACGCTCTACGCGTAATTCTTCACGACAGCATGGGTCATTATTCCACGGAAAGACAATGGATTTGTGGTACCAGGTAAACAAACAAAGTTGTGGGCAAGAGAATGACTGCTCAAACTTTGAAAGCACCATTCACGGGGAAATTCTAAAGTTCAAGTAAAACCCTAACTGGATGATTCACACACGGACTAGAATCATGTGAGGAACTGATGATGACTGCAAGGTTTAAGAAACACATGTTTACTTCAGAACTATTGATTTGAGAAGTTCCATTCGTAGATAAGACAGACGCGTGATATAGGACTGAAAAGCCCAACAAACGGTTGGAGTGGAGTGGTGGATGAGATGTTTCACTGCTGGTAGCGGGAGAAAATCAAGTAACTGAGTTCCGGATAGCGCAGTGGTTACAGTGCGAACTTATTGACCGGAAGGTCCGTGCTTCCGGAGTCTCGACTGCTCCCGTCTAGGCTTTGGCAACCTGGGAGAATCTCCACCTTAGTGCTTTCTTCCGGTGGCATAGCGGTTAGGCACCGAAAGGATGTTTCAGCCGAACGATTGTTATTACTAGGAAACAACTGAGTTTAGAAACCACAACGACAACCGAATAGATAAGCCAAACGGAGCTGTGTTTCTTCGATCAAACAGATGGTAAACAGCGTTATTTTGCGGACAACCGTGTGATGCACTTGCAATTTATGTCGGATGAGACGGAACTAGTGGCTGCCTAGAGATATCATGTGCAAACACTGGATCAGCAATCGCCTACACCATAAGAAGTGGTGCTTGTGTTCAGTTATGAAACGAACGGAGAGGATTTGAGGATAACGTATATCTCCCAGAGAGTCAGTAAGTATTTCATCTTACCAATCCAAAATAACCGTCGTGCACCCAAACAACAGCGCACCGATGATGTCTCCACGAATGGCGACGAAACATGTGCAAGTCAATTGCCGACCTCGGTGAGCAGACAGCTCAGTGATTACGACGCAGAACTACGAACGGAAGATTCGCGGTTTGAAAAAAAACAAACCCTGTTTTAGGTTGTCCCTGTCTGAGCCGGAAAAACTTGGCAGCATCTCGAGGTCCTTTTGAGGGGCGGGGCAACTATGCAGCGAGAAGGTGCTGCAGCTGGATGTCAGTTTGCCTTTGAACTACTACTACTTTATCAGTGTCAGACAGCGAAAAAATCCGAGCCCAACTAAACACCAACGATCACACGACTGGCTGAGAAATTCATCAAAGTTGTATGCGGACTCGAAAAGTTCACCACTTACCCAATGGGTCGGTTGTTTGTTCTTGAGCCAATAAATTTACTTCGATGGGCTGCAATCACTTCGGCAGGGAAATAGGTGATACTGTTGAGCAAATGGGAGAAGAAGGTTGACAAAGATGATTGGTAAACGACCAGTACAAACCACCTTGGAAAGCAGTCAACGGAATACAATTATTTGCATACCAATAGGGTTTTCACGGGAGACTCCGCTGAATATCTCATTTTGTTCTTTAACTGAATCCACTGTACCAAGCCGCATCATGTTCCAGTAAAACAGTTCAGAGAAACTTAAAAACTGTATTCACCTGGTGATCTCCAAGAACGGCGCAACCGGCCGTGGGATGCTGAAGAGGCTTCAACAGCCTTATGAGTAGTGTTGTACGTTTATATAAGGGGTCATAGACAAATCCAAAAAGGTTCTTCACTCAAAATGGGGAGATAAAACATGAGTGAAACGGAGATGGGGTAGATCGTGTTCAATATGACTCTGCTTCGCTTTGTCAGTAACAGTGGGAAATACACGGTTCGAAAGGTCTCATTAGCTATCGAGTACATATACATATCGAAGCGAACCGAACAAAAGCATGGCAAAACAGGATTCAAATGTCATACTCGACTGTGCCATCACGACTGGACGAGTGACGCAATAGCTGAAACGCCTCCAGATTGGTCACATGACGCATACTGTGTCCATCTAATTCAGTTATGTAATCGTTGGGCTGAAGTACATTCGATCGACACACCGCCCCACCATCAAATATCTGGACGATACGACAACCATCCTGACCTCGGGCTGCAAGGGCGTCGAGTTTGATGCCTGAAATGAGAATGACATATTGCAGGTAGCTTTTCTAAGGGTGCCTCCGATAGACAAGTGAAAAAAATATATTTGGGGATGTAATCTACGAATATGCAATTTAGAAATCCTGATATTAAAATTATATGTATTGATCCCCGCTTTACACAACTAAGATCTTGTAACAACAAAAACGACCAAGCTGAATAAGGCGGTAAAAGTGAATCGTGCGATGATTTGTGCGTCTATGTGACAAACAATGGCATGACGTGCCAAACAGAAGTCTGAAGAACGAAACAGCCGGAGATGCATACAGTCCTGACAACTTGAAAGAGCAATACACTGACAGTGATGAATTGACACGAGGACCGCAGAGAATTTGTCGAAACAATAGTAGCTCGAGTAATAGTGGCTGCTTCAGTCGCCTAGCCTGACACCCGTTTCATGTCGTTGTGTTACCAGTGTGGTTCGGTAGTGATTCCCCCTTTTCCTGCTTGTGTTTTGGAAGAGTATATAACGTCCCAACGAGAGTGATTATTGGAAGAGGGAATCACGTAGCTTCATCACTCCGGTTGAAATTTGTACCGCGTTGTGGCCTGTCTACCAAGCTTGCCCAAAGGACAGCAATACACCAGTAATATATGCTGTCGCTTAACATGCATGAGGAAAGAAGGCCGAAGTGAAGAGTGAAAGAAAAGGGAAGTGTAGGAATTTGGTGCGGAGAAATCTCACGCGCTTAGGGAAAACGGCCATCTTTGGAAAATAGTAAAATAGTAAAAATAGTAAAACACATCAGAGTATCATATCGAAAAAGGACACCATTAGCGAAACTGATCCAGTATCTGCGAACCTCGATATAAACCCAGTGTGCAATGAAGGGCGAACTTTAGCTTGGCTGTCTGACTAGGAACTGACGACGTAAACTCCACTGGGATTGGCTGCGTGTCATAACCTGAAAATTCTCCAGCCATGTGCAAATAGGATAACGTGAGCCCAGGCCAGGAAGATGGAGAGATCTCAGTATTCAGTCCGACCGAAGCCGCTTCCATTTCACACTGTCATGTCATGGTCTGCTCTCCACGAACTTTTCGCCTACCACCTCATTGCGCAATTGTTGCAAAAACTCCGTCAGCTAGATAAACTTGCTGAAAATAATCCGCCTGGTGATGTAGACGTTGGTATTTAGTATATATCACATTTTCAATATTGCCGTTGATCAACTCACTAATGCAAGGCCGTTTAAGTTTTATTTTGCGGATTAGCTGGAATAAACTCCGTGTTTTCCAAACCGCATTGACCCTCTCCGTTTCCTGAGCTTTCTGATTCCACCACGCCTCTGTCAACAGGCACGCTAGGTTGGAGCTGTCATCCAATCAGTGTATTGAGCCCAAACGGAAAAGACGTGTTGCACCCGGGAGTAACAGTGACCGTAGAGAGATTAAGCGGGTTCCGTGTACGAGCTCCAAAACATCACAAGCAGAGTTTCCGGCATCAGGTGTAGACATGGTGATCTCATACCAGTTGCGGTCAATGTCTTCGAGGGTGGCTGCTTGTAATCCATTGTTACAATAAGCACTGGCATGTTTCCCCAACGTGTGGCATACAAAGCCCTTCTACGGCTGAATGGGGAGTTTGGTTCCGGGGTTTACCAGGGAAAATCAACAAAAGCCTGCGGTCAAGGGTCGAAACGCCCCATTGGTGACTGATGGCTGTCTGCAGGGCTACTCAGCGGTAGGGAGAGGTCTGGTAGAGCAACTACACCCATTTTAGTGCAGCTGAGAAACGGTTGTGAACAGTACAAAGTCACAAAAGACGTTCACCATTATCAGTACGTTGTACATGCCTATGATGAACTATGACGTAATACCTGTGCACCAAAACATCTCGTGAGGGTGACCATACCCGAGCTCTTCATGGTGAGCGAGAGGGTGGTCAGTTTTAGACAGACAGTGCCTTCGGTTGAATCACAGGCACAGTTCACTGGTGCATAACTGAATACGACAAACCAAGAGAGCTCAGTATTTCGGCCAATGCGAGTTTTCATCGGAGCACAGAGGTATCCAGACGATCAACTAAGACTGAACTCATGAACTGGGGGCCTTAATAAAGCCGGCAAAACCAACTGCAGCAGTTGCAGGGTCACTAAAAGTCGATGAGGTCTAGAGAGGGGGCGCCGTGAGCTCAAAAACTAGGATTCTGTATCTGGGTTCCAGATCAGCTCGACGGGCGATTTGCCTAACAGCTCGCAAATTAAGGGTTGCAATAAAAACAAGAAAACGAGATTCGAATAGCGGACACCGACTAGTAGATATGAACGGTGTTAGTCCCCTAACTGCATAGCAGACGTGTCTACAGCTTGGATCCGTATTGGTGATTATTAAGCGGGAAATTAGGTATTTTGGACATAAAGATGAATAAAAATGGGAGGCGCTCGTAGTGATATGCTTTCGCTTATCCACGATGCTGTATGCAGTGAATGAGGCGATTCGGCACAGGTCACCAAAGGACCACCAGTGTGACATGGTTGTACGTGGTTGGGATACTGCCATAGCACCCAAACCTAGACAGGAGGACGAATATAGTCCACACCCAAAGCCTTTGGCTCAAAAGGCTGACCGCAAGGTTGCGGTGGTGTGCTTGGGATTACATTAGTAGCCCAAATTTTAAGGAACAAATTGCCACACTTGTTCCAATCCCCAACCTGATATGCAAGGAGAGTGTGTTTATCAGGTCTCCCTCCATCAAGCAACCTGGTAGAAGAGGCTGCGTTGGTGTAGACTGGGCATTCTCCAGCACAACCCAACTGGTTACTGAGGTACACAAACTACGACGATAAAAACCCCACTCTCTTCGAGACAGGCGAACTAAATATAATCGCCATTCTCAGTGCAGACGATCAATAATGCTGCAAAGCACGCAGTGACGTGAAAAAGAGTTCGAAAATGTGTAAATAAGCCTGGGGGTCGATGGCACGATTTCAGTATGAGGCCGCCTACGCCTACATCACTGGCTTCCATCCACGAATTGAGTAGAAACTAACCATCGAAAGGATGGAGAGACTTGGTAAGATCGGTAAAAAAGAAATGCAGTTAGACAAAACGGAATTGGGTGGATGATAGGAAAGAGACCGGAATAAACCACAGGTATTGCTTCAGACAAGTTGCTCGCTCAACTTGGCTCTGGTCTACGAACACACCAATTACTCTTAGGTCATAACAAAGACCGATAAAAAGCGAACAGTGCACAGTACATATTGCATTTCACATGAAAATGCTGCAATACTGCAATCCTGTGTACACCATAAAAGTATAAAAGTAACTACTGTTTTAAACTGCCAACCACTTCACAAGCAACCTCTCCATCTTATCTTATAAAAGAACACATGGGAAAAACTGTGAAGCAAAACACCTATTGGCCAAGCTATACAAACAGAAAGGCAGAACAAAAACAGGCAAGTTTTGCGACTAGATTTCTACTGTTTAGTTATCTGCTTCGTTTTATGTAGAACAGTGAAAAAAGTTGAACAGTTGATTGCTCTTTCTTTAAGATATCTGGTAGGCTGGATGGCCACCAGACACGTCTGTGAGTTTGATGAAAACAGTTGGTTCACAAATAATTATTACCTTAAATCAGAAGAAAACATTGGGAAATACACCTGTCTGCATGATAAATCAGTGTGGACGGGATGCTCCATTAAAACTCTGCAGTGAAGTCTTCAACCGAAACTAAACCTAAAGATGTATCGCTTTTTACTGGTCCACTGAAGACCTTTTCAATAGTTAAAACTTGACCAAACAAAATTCCAATCTGAAAGACATTCCAGTTCCACTAGGGGTGGCCGGTCGCATGTCGCCTCTCTTTACTACAAGCAGCAGTCCACAAGTGAGTATCTCTCCTTAAAGATGAAGACCAAAAGACCAGTTGAGATCTTGTGAACATCCTTGGGAGTCTAACAGCTGATAGCTCTGTAGCCAGGTTAGATATCAACGAAATGCTGACTATCCCGGCTCACAAGAAGCTATCGCCAAAGTGATATTAAGATCCTGGAAAGCAATGGAAATTGCCAACTTTGGGTAAAGGTGTGCCAAAAGGCCTTTGAAAAATGTGTCGCTACCAGGGTCCGCAAGTCACTGCATACTCCACTATGCATAACCAAGAGCTGCTCGCAGAAGAAAACATGGACCCCTGTCGAGTACTTGATGCTATCGAATCATGGCCACCGATAACCATGGAAACCTATTGTTACGCGAGTGAATTAGAACAAACGACAGGCCAAACAGAGTGGACAGATGGGATCAATTCGAGATAAAACGGTTTCTGTGATATGTCTGCTATCCCCATCGTCCCGGTTGCTCGAAGGCTAGAGATAGATTTTCGTACAAAAGGCATGCACTGCTTCAGATGTCATTCGTAGACGAATCACCATATCACTTCATGATCATCCCACTCTTGACCAGTAACTTATACATGCGATCGACCAAAAGTGTGTGTGACTATGTAGCATTTTTCTTACATTGACTCCACCTACTGGCACCATAGATATGTACAAGTTGAAACCTGTATAACTCAATAGGCAGCTTGTACCGGATAATTTGGATTCACGTGATTGCCTGTTCTGAATGTAATTATATGTATCATACGTAGCAAACAGCGACTTTTGACAAGGATTGCAACGAAAGCCGTTGAACACAGAGCTGAACTGTTCGTAAGCAAGCAATACGCAGTTAACAAGAAGGATGCTTATGCATGTGAAATGCACAGAACCGTTGATTTGGCAACGACCGCACAAGCAGTAGTATTCAAAAGTAGCCTGTACTGAGTCGCCTACGCAACCGGCTGGACACCCTGTGTCCGATATGAAATTGAAGTAAAAGGATCGGTGAGTGAACAGGACAGAGGAGTTCTGAAGACAACAACGTCCGACTGATGATGCATAATTTTCGGGACAAACAGATAAGTGAACGACGTATGCGAATGACGGTCTGACGACCCCACCCCCCCGTAAGACGAACCCAAGGCTAGTCTAACCACTATTTGGCTTGATCGGTAAAATTATGGTCACAGAGAGTTATTCCTCGCATCGCTATACCCGGAACGCCGGACTACTATGGCGGGTAATTTGAAGCTAGGTGGGCGAAGAGTACAAGAATAAAATACAATGAATTAGGATACAAAGCAACCTGATCAATTAAAAATGAATTTAGGGTGGTAATGAAACAAGCGGACAACCCCGCAATCGTTGCCAGTTTCTCAGTGGGGAATCATTTGACGAATCCACGGGATTGGGGATGGTACTTCTACGGACGAGAGCGAGGGCTGCGCATATTCCCCGTGGACATATACAACCGAAAAAACACAAACTTACCAATGGGAGCGGAAAGGAGGACAATTTGTGTGAATTTTTCCTGTGACTTCTCAACAGGTGGGACATCCAAGTAGGGGTCATGAAGATCCGACTGTTGGTAGTCTTCCGGCAGGACGTGAAAATTAAGGGGCTGCAGAATGACAAGATGAGAAACGATGGTGAATCGAAAGTGATCATTGCTCGATACAAAAAAAATGGGTAAACCGTTCAACGCGGACAGGTTAAAGACCAGGAAAACACCACGCAAGAGGTTGAGAAGTTTCAAGGTGTCAAGTACAAAAACAGCAAACCTTTGGCAGTACAGACTGGATTAGCGATACAAGCCTACCGATGAAAATACCCAACGGAAGCCAGTAAAAAAATCCGTGATGACATTGAACAGCGTGCAAATTTCACCCATAAACTCGTGCGACCAACCAGAGTATACGCCAAACCAAGCGAACTGCCACCAGGGTGGTTGCAGGGTGCGGTACACACCTGCGTTCTGGCCAACGAATTTCCTTAAGGAGCCAGTCAGATGCCACCTTCTTGTTTCTTTAGACAAGAGGAGGACCACATCTTCGACTCGCGTCCGAAAAGACATCGAAAAGATTTGGCCTGATGCCAGAGCTATGCTTTCATTGAAGGGTCTGTACTTGATTGCCGATAAATCCTGCTGCCAGATCGTTAACAGATTACCAGGTCTCTAAATCAGTCGAAGCGCACACAGTCTTACGATTGATTGATTTTAATGATTCACTAGTTAACCGGTTGATTCGTGGTCATCTGTTCATCGATGACTATTAGAATAAATGGCTCAACAGAACTGATTGCACGCACCGGTGACATACAAAGAAGAGAATACACTAACGCCCGTAGACAGCTGGTAGGTCATTCCTAATGTCGGCCCATCCTGATTTAGGAAACGGTTGCCTAAGAGTAAGACGATATTCCACACTGAGTGTCCAAAACCCTGGTTAACGGAAGGTTGGTGAGTGGACGGGTGCAGACCACGACATGGAGACGCACAATAAAGCCTACTGATTGTTATGGGGCGTTCGCGCCTTCATCACGGAGATCCACGTGATCCTTCTTGCACATGGTCAAAAATCCCACAAGGCATGGTAGGTTATCGATCCTAATGGCCCAAGTGTTCGCCATTGGCCAGACTACCTAGTTAGTAGTTGTAAGTCGTTACATGCTGGACCCGTGTTTGAGGATGCTGGATCAATCCCGCTGATAGCGTACTGCAATGCTGCGGCATCTATAGGGATGCTGCCAGAAAGTGTAGGTAGCTTAACCGTCTTTCCTAGGGGTATAGAACTCTGCTTTCTTTCCAATTTACCACCGCTTTCTCCCCCGCGATTCAGTGGCAGTTTGGTACCGGTATCTATTGCCGGTGTATTGCTGTCCATGGTGATGATGACCCGAGAGAGGGAAAGAAAGGATCCGGACTAGAGAAGTCTGTAAGATTAGACCGTAGCGCGGCATACAGATACACCTGACAATACCTCCGATATTGGTAGACAGTAAATTCACTGTAGGACCACATAAATTAGTTCAACTATAAAAACGAAGTGTTTACTGGTACATGGAAGCATGCAAACAAAATCTGCGGGTTGCTGAACCACCATCATTTTGTGCACATAAATGTGATTTTACGACGCATGTATCTACGTGGGGACGTCATGTCACCAGCACTGCCGGCTCAGATCGGAGGCCGATACCATATCATACCAATCAAGGTGAACTGAACATGTGAATCAAACAGCAGCGGACCGACTGCACATGGCAGTCGGTCGATATGCGCCGGACAGACCACCTAGATCGGTCGTTACTGGATGCACAAACGGCGAGTGAACGTGGACGGATGTAAATTCCATTCAAGTGAATAAACATTCGATTATCCTGTCACTCAAAGCGTAGGTCGAATAATACCAAACAGTATGACGTGCGGGACAGCACTATCAACAATACCGTCCCATATGTCTTTCCAATGAGTAGCAACTACACTGCGTTTTCTCTTGATTACGTCATCGAAAATGAGACAGGCAGGTCGTACTAGAGGAGCGAACAGCACATTTCTTGGGGTTGAAGTACACCATTCCCTAGTTTTTTTCATTACGAGATAGAAAAAACTCAAGCAAGTCCAGTCGCTTTAGTGAGTTCGTCATACCAAGCGGCGATGAAACGACTAATAGTTACCAATTTGTGCACAGTCTGGGGATTGTAAGTACTAGATAGGAGAAATACACTCATTTGCAAATCAATTTGGTTTCACGAGCCGACTCAACTGAATCTCTCGTTTATGATATTCTACAACTGAATGTGCTGCACACAGGCCGCCTCATGATTCAGTTGGCACGATATTCGAGATATCGCAGTATATTTTCATTAAGGAAACCACTCATAAGGTTGCTGAAAACTCTTTGACAGCCCACGACCGGTTTCGCCCTTTTCGGGGCTCATCAGGTAGGCTCAGTCCCCGACTTTCCGTCAACCTTATGATCTACTTGAACCCCAATTATTGCACTGTTTTCGAGAAATACACTCATTTGCAAATCAATTTGGTTTTCACGGGAGACTCAATCGAATCTCTCGTTGGATGGAGGGCAGATAAGAATCAACAAGAAATGCGAAATTCAGGAGAGGAAAAAACTCTACACACAAATAGCAAACAACCATGAACAGCGTACATATGCCCCTGTCAACAAACAAAATCCTTCAGGGACACTTCATTGCTGGGGGATCACAAGGTGCCAATCCCAATCGAGTTGCACTTTTCAAACGACAACTGAACAGTTGAATGCCACCTTTAAAAATATATGGCAGTCTGCCAACGAACAACTTTCCAACGTGTTTGTCGAAGAAAGTCGGCTTGCGTGTATTCCACCCACTACCTGTGGTAACTCGGATTTTGTGTGAAAAGTTGCTCTTGATGAAGACCTACACCCATACCTTCAGTATAAACCCAACTGAACCCTGAAATCGTCTTTGTATATCACAAACAAAATATTCCTTCGGACCTCCATTAAATCTCCCATCACATTAGGTTGTAGGTTATCGATTAGTTAAATGTCCCAACACCAGCGCGAGGGCTGGTATACTGCCAGGTTGCCGACAGGAGAAGTCGAGAGGCGGTCGGGTTCGGACCACGGACCTTCCGGTTAGTAAATTCGCGCTCTAACCACTGAGCCATCTCGACCCGAGATGGTCCATGTACCGAAGCCATACACAAGTCATAGATATAGCTAACCGGTGCAGGACACCGGAACCTTTCCCTTCACGAACATATAAGACATTTTTATCAACTGAAACAAAGTTGGTGCGCCTCAGTTGTCTAGCAAGCCAAATGAGATCAAGGATACAAGGACAAAAGGTCGACCAGTCATGCAGTGGTTGTTCTGTTTATGCTTGTAAACAAACCTTCAGCTGTAGCACCCTTTCGGTGCCTAACTGCCATGCCACCCGAAGGTTGCACGAGGACTGGGATACTGCCGGTCCTAGACAGGGGAAGTCGAGAGGCAGAGGTCGGGTTCGAACCTCGGACCTTCCGGTCAGTAAATCCGCGCTCTAACCACTTGGACCATCTCGCCCCTGTTTATGCTTGTAGGTAACTATTTCCAGCCAGACTACTGAAAAATGTTCTGTTCTATGGGAGTCTTTTTATGAAGAATGTCGCGAAAAAATTGTGAAATGTCGAAGCTGCTTCTTTCCTGAATATATTACTTAGATGGTATCCAAAAAGGAAGAGAGAGGCTCGATGTCCCTCACATTACCGAAGTGCACATAAAAGCGAGAGGATATGCCAATCAAAGTAAAAGTTGTCATAAAGTATGAAAAACCACTTCAAAAGAACCGTATTGAATGCATCGGAACAGCAGACTAACTCACATGATCTTTTGAACACTCCAGCGGAAATGAAGCCTGTCAAGGGGATAGAAGACCAGAACGATTAGAACGAGTAAGGTCATATGTGTCAGGGAGGAAACTACAGAGAGGCATGCGTGAAGAACGATGAGGTCGAAACGTCTTGTCATGCAAACGCGATTGTCCCAGAGTTGTCATTAATTGCTACGGAGATGAAAACTAACTTAAAAACATAAAGCCAACCGCCACACCACAGTTGGACATGTGCACAACTAATTGTAGAGGAAACACACTGGTGCGCGCTGTGGTAGCTACTGAAAACTATACACATACAACACAACGGTGATGTAGCGAACAATAAATGTTCAGCGGAAAACAAACAGTCCGCATTCCAAATTTCCCTTTAGAAGTTTGGATAGTACAATGAGAACATGGAGGCTGGTAGATGCAGGCACTTCGTACAGGCCAATAACCGAAAAAAAACGGTCTTACTGCATTCACCCAAACCTGGTATGAGCAGTACTGATTCAAAAAAACTAACTTGACCACATAATGAGACAGGTAACAGTGAATGTCAATGACGGAAACAAGCCAACAGAACTGGGTGCGTTGAAGAAATCGCAAGGTGAAAAACATCAAGGCATGCCGGGGGTAACGACAACAGCATTGCACGACGCCAACCTTTAGCTCCGAATACCCAATATCAGGCATCGGCATATCATCTTGCAGGTCATCTAATACATCAAGGCAGTCCCCCGATGAGTTGGACAGAAAGGATTCGAGTGGAAGACTCTGAACAGTGTGTTTGCTTCGACGTTCCAAGCGATGGTGGTTAATCGAACGATGGTGAACAGAAGTGGCAAGCACCCAGCCGTCAGATATATTGGAGTCTGGCGTGAATTCCCTCACAACAGGCCAACAACATGACCGTAGAGATCGGGGAGAATTGGGTCGGGTGGAAGAACTCTCAGTTTCTGAGCTTAATATGCCTGAGCGAAAATAGGAAGACAGTGAAACGGTCGAAGTAGTCGACAAGTCTATATCAGCCGCTGTACCACTGGGACCATCTGTACAAAACGACTGATCCGAGTCTACGTCCATAGTAGACGAGAACACGGCCACTGCATCATCCACCAGACTACATGATCGTGACTGGTTCTCGATTGACAGCGAATGCACTTCCGGTTCGTCCAATGTGCGAACAGCTGGCACTAGTGTGGGTGAATGCACGACCTGTTCAAGAGCTATCTGTAATATCTGGTCGACGAGCTGTTCAGCAGTGTCGTATAGAGCAGTTTCGTGGATAGCTGACTCCTTAGGTTTCGCAAAATAACCTTCGTCAGAGATCGAGGTAGACGAACAAGAATGAGTCCAGTTCATTTCCAAGGACTCTTCGTCCGACGACGGGTGCACTGAGTATGAGGGTTCCAGTAAAGCAATAGCTGATTCTACGACTTCTGTAACCAAGTCTGCCGCAAGCATGGAAAGTCGAGAAATCGAACCATTGACTGTCGTGACACCATCAACTTGCATTCGACGGGGGGTTGGTGAGCAAGGCCGATAATCACCTAAAACCACTCTCTCACACAAGTCCCAGGGATGAGAGGACCAAGTCATGCAAGAAGTGTTTGGTGCTCCCAAACATATGAGCCCACAAGACTGAGAGCGGGTGAGTGGTACAGTCGGCTGTTCAGGAGCGACAGTGAGGAGGGAGGTGGATTTCTGAGATGACACAAGTCCGCAGTCTGGAACCGAGAAAGACTGCATGCAGCGGATAGTGAGGTGGATAACGAGCAACATGTGTCATGCGAAATTGAGATGGATTTTGGGGACAGAGAAGAAAGGAACAGTATTTAAGAACAAGGCATAGTTGTGAATTAGGAAGCGGGTTGAATAAACCAAATGCTAAACTATGGACATTTTCTCAGCGGGGCGGTGGAAAACCAAAGGTGAGAGAGCGTCAACCCCTCCACATACGCATTTCACATATATTTATAATGTTGATAACAAGGCATAAGATATTTGGATTCGCCAAGACGGTCAGGTAGCCACCACCAGCTCACCAGGGCTGTCTGACTTGCTGATCAACTTGGCGATGAGTGGGTGCATTCACGTGTTCGTGCTTGGGGAGCAAATGTATCCAGCGGGTCTGGACACCATATACAGTCACCATAAGTGATCCAAAGGTGCGACAGTTGGATTTTGGAATACTGTAGATATGGTGGATGTTGACAGTGGTTATTGAGAGGATGTAGGCTTTCTGAAATCGTCGCCGTAGCGGCGAAAGAGACCCTATCCAAACATCGCAGGTCTTTCGAGGAATTTAAGAACTTGTCGTTAAAAGAGTGACCTTCGTAGAGAGGTGAAGTACTGCACCAGAAAGATAGATTAACTATGACTCGCAAGCAGGTTTTGCAGCAATATGCTTCACTTTAGACATCGGTACGGTCTGCTTGTACGAACACGCATGCATCATCTCCGTGTATGGAAATCGATGGTCGGAATTTTGTTCTGACTAGTTAGCTGCGCACGGTCTCAGGGGTCGCAGTGAATGGCCTGAGGATTCAGGTAACAGCTTAATGCCGGTACATGACAGGTGGTATTCCAAGGTCATTTACTACCCTGTTATTCACATCGGTTACAATTGTGACCGTTTGAGTTAGGGAGAGAAGTAGAAAACCAGCGCTCCAATTCTGTCTATTTTTTTCTGCAGAGGGGCACTCAAAAGTGGTTAAGACTGTACGAAAAACTGGATTAGCAAGGCTTCACGAAAGGCTAGGTTAGTCGAGGAGTGTAGAATCATTCCACATTACATTGTTTGCTTAGAACAGTCTTCTAATCCGTACGCCACATCCCGATTTTCCGGAAAAGATCACTACTATCACGCGCTCTTCATTATAGTCATGTCGAAAGCAGTGGAAAGAAAATAAACTGAGTAACTGTTGGCCGCTTGAGTCTCTGGAGAGTTCTGCAACACCATTGATACTGCCTAGTGTATTTAGGGTGTTTTCTTTTAACACGACTAACATTGTACCGCTAGTCAACGAGTGATTGCATACAAAGTTAACAACAACAACAACACGGCTCTCTCCTGTTGTCTCCCCATTACAAACGTCAACACAATTCCCATGCCGTTCTCCTATTAGCTCTTTTGGATTAGCATGTGTTGCAGGACTCTCCCCAAATATAAGTACATAAACACTTAGCCTCTATGCAAACCCAATAGTGTGAACTCCGTGCGGTATGGCGAGAAAGACATGATGATATTGGTCAGCTCTCCAAGGAAAACATGCACCATCAACGCACTGAACAACTTTGTCGTGACTTCACAGCAAACACCGTGTCAGACGGCTTACTGTCATCAACGTAAGTTACCAAACGCGTTCTTAAGCCAGTGGCTCAGAAAGAAGCGGAAAAGTATGAGTACCGTATGTTGTTACTGAGCATCGATACAGGTAAACAGGTATAGAAGAGGCAAACTGCAGGACTAGAAGTGCTGATCGGCAGAACAATATAGTTCGGTCAAGCGTTCATTTCAGCCCTTAGAAATGCTTTCGAAAACTGCAGCAAGGACAAAATAGGCGTCGCAGGAAGTGGATTTGGAAGCTTTGAACACCTTATGAAGCACTCAAAAGCGACCGGTTCATGGGAGTCTGCTGAGAAAGCTCCACTTATTGATTTATCCTAGCGAACAGATCACCACTGAAATGAAAGTCAAAGAAAATATAGTTGGGTTGGCAGGACGTTAGCTGTTTAGTATCGTTCGTCAAACCGTAGTTTCAAACCACCCATCGATGGCGCATAGAGCAGACTTGGCTTTTGTCCCTGGATAAATACCCTCATTGCATTGGCCCTGAATACAGAAACTGCTTCTCATCAGTGAATGTGTGATTGAGGGTGGGTACACTTCCGAAGGATTACACAGCTGCCCACAGGTAGGTACGAAAGTTGTGGTTCGGATAGGCAGCTATACTGTGGGCACAATTACGGTAGATGCGGTCTACTGGATTACGTTTTGATCAGTCTGCTCAATCCAAGCACCAAAGAATTTCTCTTGGGAACACAAATTCTACTAAAACTGCCGGTAAAAAAGACATTGCTGAGAATGGCACATCCTGGAGACTGAGGTGGGGAATCACGGCAACGCGCATGGTGTCAAGGGGAAACTGAGAGATCCCGTAAGAAAGCTGGAAAGATGTCAAAACCGTCAATACATCCAACTAGCACTGCTGATCAACTGTCTATCTCTCCAATGTAGCGTTTGACTACCGGAAAGTATCGCGTTCGAATCCCTCAGATGTGTACAACCGGTGGTTCTCAGTAAGCGAACAACTTCACACAGCTGCCTCGACTTTTAGTATTAGCTACTTTGCAGCTGGACAATCAAAACCTCATCGCTAGCTGCAAGGTGTGGATAAAAGACTTTGGAACAAACCGTATGGAACACTGTCTAGCTTTAACATCTCCAGAGAGCCGAAACTCCATTATTAAATTCTAACGAAGAGCGGCTGACTCGAGCACATTCTGTGACCACGAAAAGCGTTCCTGAATCACCGTTTACTGAAAACAAATCACATACTGTTGGTTATATAAAGAAGACCCTACCACTGATCGTTCGATTGTCGGAGTCCCAGAAGGAAGTCGCCAGACATCCAGTGACCACCACATGGGCTCATTGGATACGGCGAAAAACATTAGGGCGAAATAAAGAAAAGATCATTTGGATGGATCATTTTTTATAAATCTAATTGGAGATCTAACATACCGCTTGCCCGTCGTCCATTGCCTGTTCTCCAGTATTTACGTATAAAGGTTCGTAACCAGTAAATGTTGTGCTCATTGCTGGTTCCGAAGGCGGGATTTGAACTCTGCTGTTACCGAACACATTAACATTCGGCTCTTCGACTACATTTGGTACGAGATGCATCTTCGAAATGCCCAGCAGACACGGGCCATTCGGAGCGGACTTGAGTGCTCGGACGGCATCCTGAAGAGTGGCCTTCGACAAATTTCGGTCGTTAATAAACAACAAGCGATCACCAATTGAAATCCGGCCATCCTGATGAGCGACTCCGTTGGGGACAACTCCGTCTACCAAAAGGATGTAACCCTTACGGGAGGAAGAGAACGCCATACGAGGTAGCGTGGCGGAGCGGTGAAACTTGTGTGGAGAGGAAAAGGGAGAATGCCGATTGGAATGTCGACGCCCAAGCGTCAAGCTTATACGCCGACGGCGGGACTCAGTCTCCGACACAGGTAATTCCTGGTGGTAAATCAATGAGAAAAAAAGTGTACGTAGAACGGCATAACGGTGGAAAAAGTGGAGTCAGCGGGACAGAGATCAACTGGAAGCAGTGACTGGGGAGTCTATTATGGCACCACTAACAAGATAAGACGTAAGCTTCGTATCTCCGCTAACGATGGGTACAGCTGACAATATAGCAAATGAGACACAAGTATTCTAGGCCGTGCTGTAGTTGGACTGCAGGGACCCGAGGCAGCATGTATACAGCAGGTCCAAGCAAACACATGTCGCTTGGTTTTTTGCCTGTTCGCCGAGTTTGGCGGTTGCATTGCAATCCGACTATGAAGCTCGGCGAAGAGACCAACAACCAAGCAGCGCACCCGAGTTACCTATATTCCGCAACATTGCTAGCATACATCGTTTTTTTTCGGAATTAGACACATCACTTGCAAAAAGAACGAAATCCCAACCATGAGGATAAAATTCGAACTAACAACAAACTTCGGTATGCTGTTTGTTCAAGGGCGAAGAAGCAGTGGCAACATTTACACCAGTAAAGGGATTATAAATCGTTGGGCAACGATTTTAGTGTTTTGTACCGTTTACTCTGCGAATTCCTATGCAATTCCTGGGTCGCATTAAGCCAAGGAATATTATCCAAAATGGTTTTACTGGATTAACGAAAGAATCTGGTAGATATAACGAGGGGATTACCGCAACAGTTTCGAGGATGGAGCAGTTAAACCCTTACGATCCATCTACCTTCACAGAATTTTTTACATCTGGTAAGGTCCGATATAATACCTGCTAATATTTATAAAAATGTCTAACTTGAAATTGTAGTATATATGTACCTTGTATCCAATATCAGCTTTATCTCGCAAATATGATTCATGATTTATCCACCAGAAATAAGTACTTTTCCGTTACCTTTGAATTAGGTCACAAACATCTTCCAAAATTGACGTTCATAATTTCGTCACCTCCTTAGCTAGCTAGCTCACAGCCACATACTCCATTATCCGCCTTGTTATTTATTCGCGGTCGCTTAACAGAGAATATTGATACACGCATCAGGCAATGTCCTTCAGAGCCTGCTTGGTAGTACCGCGTGTTGGATGAGCTTCAAGGAAGTCCGTTTGGGTTGAATGAGACTTCCCCAATCATGAAATACATGTGGATGTCCACAATTTGCCACTGAACACCCGGCAAAAGTTCAACTGAAACCAACCTAAAGTGAAGTCTTGCTGACCAATTTATTCAACTTGAATGACTGTCTGAACGACCCTTGAATGCATCACCGAAGCCAAATGAAACGGTGTACGCAGTCTGTACGTAACTCACACATCCAGCTTGCCATGAGGGCTGGACAAACTCCATGCCCAGAACACACATCACAGTTAGCGGACGATGGATGCAATCTTCAACAGCTGAAAGGGAATCATTTGATCACGTGGAGCATACACAAACAGTTGACCGATGATCACATCATTCCGACCGGCTGAGAGCGTGGAGTACGTGCACCGGACGATTGGCATACTTAGGAAATCGCCTCGCTCACAAGCAATAGCTCTCACATATGTGCCCAAAATTCTTTGACTATGTGCTTCTATGTATTGGAACCAGGCGGACGGACCTGATCGGTCATCATTCTGGATGCTGCTTTGGTCAGGCGGCCAGTGATTACGACTTTACCAACAAAAAGTAAAGTATGTATGTAATTCGCAGTGATACCGCTAACCACCTTCATCATGATATGCAAGAAAATTAACTGAGGTTAAGTATGCATGCTCAGTGACCTGCTTTATCCAGCACAACTACGTGCTTTTCATCAACGCAGATGTACATTTTTTGCTGTTGCGAGTGCAGATCAGAAGGACACTGATCCAGTAGTGGAATGATCTGCTTCTGGCTTTGCAAGATACGCGCCATCGCTTCATGAAGCGAGTGCGTATTTTCTTATTTAGCTTTGCCCGGGATTGCTCCAGCTAAAAAGTACTCAATCACGACCGATTCTTGAGTCCCATTCAGCCGCATTGCACTAATGCACTTCGACCGGTTCAACCATTTTCCCTACTCGCACGCAGATGCCACACAGATGTACCACACCTCGGAATATAGCATATGAACATCATCTCGGTGGGTTAGTTTAGATGATGGGAAGCAATCAGTGCCATTCGCCTACCCTTACTTCAATTGGCCATTTCTATTCTGGAGGTGGCTAGCCCTGCTATTGAAGTTATAATTCCTTCACTTGAAGTGCTTCAAGAAACCAAGTATATGCTGTTAGTGAGTGTTTAGAACAAATTCGACCTTCAACTCCATGTACCTAATGATCCGTCTGAGATATCCGGTGTCGATTTCATTGTTTCTAAGCGACATTAAGCGACTACGGTAGGCCACTCGAAGTGAACTTTGTCCTATCACCGGTTGTCGGTGAGGTGGACTGTAAAACAGTTCGGATAACAGCAAACGCCAGCTTTGAAAACCCGAATCTAATCAGCAGGTCTTTGTATTGCGACTTGTCAGTCATGTGGAGAGAGTACGGGGGAAGTATCGAGAAACCACTGACCCAAAGCTGCGAAAACCGATCACATTAATAACAGGTAGTTCATGCCTGAAGTTGCCTCCCATTCTCCCTGACTTCGTCGCTGTTTCTTTCTCTGTGGAACTGTTTTCACTTGCTCGCGAAGTAGACCTGAAAGTCCTGGAAAGTGAGTTGGGTGGAGTAAGTCCGAAGACAAACTCGGTCCATTCATGGGAATGTGGTACTAGAGCAGATGGGATTCTTTTGCCAAACGGTGTTATTGTTGCTACAACTGGTGTGATAAATTTCAGGAGTTGAAGGGAGCAGATGTCGGATGATATCGAGTTTGGACCAAACATCATATATCAAAACATGAACCTGCAGCAGAAGTCCACTGCAAAAGTCCATGCGCAGATCGGAGAGTTCAGCCTTTTCTTTGCCTTTCTGTACCTCACCGACGGAAGTACACAGCGTTCAAATGGATTCCTCCAACCCGTTAAAACGAAAGCAACTTTTTAAGTCATTGACAGAAACTCCTCAAAATGCGCAAAAAACACTAAACCAAAGGGAAATTGGTCAAGGAAGCTGGAGGAACATATAAGTCCACCTCTAAACGGTACGTCTAGGTGAGATCGCTATCCCACTCAAGGAAGGTGTACTACTCATCCAACTGGAAATAAATACAGGTGGCACTGATAGATAGATGACTCGCCTATATTCCGATTGCCTTAGAACTGCCAACCACAGAAGCACGCGTGAACACCAGTTGGAGTTACCTCCAGGAGATCATATAAATTGCTATTGAATACCTAGTTACTAAGGTTGATTGCTTTAGAGCATGCCATGTACTGATCAACAGAGATTCCAGCCAAACAACATAAGTCAAGGAACACGACACATGAACGTCATGAAATTGGACAGAACCGCAAGGAATGGCATGTGAAGTAACTCCAACTCGATGGTGTTTACGACAGACTGACACAACAAAGCCGCTTGATTTGCACAACCGGATGAAGGATCATGAAAATCAACTTACCTCGTATTCCGAAAGACTAAATCCAAATCCACGCTCTGACTTGGTCAGCTGTACCAACAGAGGAACACTTGACCAAACGGGTCGTTTGGATTTGTAACGTGGGTCTTGCACTCGATAGGTACCAGATCGTACACGTGGCATCGTGGCCAGGTGGGAAGTGTCGGTGGGTCGTTTCTGAGGCGAATGGTGAAGGTGCCTGAAAGACTCCAGATAAGAACGACGCTCATTTAGGGTGGCTGAATGGGACTCCGCTGGATAAGGAGCATTCCCAGACTGAATGGGATTAGGGAACACAAGGAGAGAGAGCGGGTAATGAAACTGAAGCAGTAAGCTAGAACATGCTGTCCGAATGTCCCAGACAACTAGCAAGCTACTGTTCAAAAGCTCAAATATGACAGCTAGAATGTCAGCGAAAGATTTTGGACAAAGGAAACGAAGTTGCGAAATTCCTATTAGGTACTGTTGGTTCGCCGGCTTATCCGGCACACAACCTAGAACCGATAGCAACGAATTCTTATCAAACTAACTATCAACAGGTGTTTTCAAGATTTATCTTAGTCTTTTTTCTATGTGATGTAGCAAATAGATTGTAGTAGGTTGTTGACGGAGAAACTAAGGTCGTTAGTTGGGACTTTTATGCTCCTATAATACACATTATTATTATTACTATCAGTAGTAGTATTAATGCCAGATCTGTCCGTTATAATCGGGTTGCAACAGAACTCGCGAAGCGTCTCCATCGCCTGGGGTACAGTATCTTCGAGAAGCTGACAGCATCTGAGTCGTCTTTTATCAAGCCAGACCTAATCGCTCTTCGCGAGTTCCGAGCAACTATGATAGACGCAGGCATAGTATTCAGTACGGGCGTGACTGTATGGAATGAGAAGGAACAGAAGTATGGTGCTGATGACTGTTCCCTCGTCATCATTTCAGCCCTATGTACAATCGAATGCGATACTGGTTGTTCAGCCCACCAACCGATTATCATTTTATATCGAGATATCTGCTTTCCATAATCCAAAAAGGCTGTTATTGGACTGGGACTTTCTAAAGTCACGGTCAGTAACTTATGTTCGCTCACCATTTTGGGCTTACTATATACTTACGACTCTTTTATGCGTGGTGCATGGCGTTGAGTGTTCCTACTTGCCAACGACTTTCACACGTGACTCAGTATCACGGTTACCTTGTATCTGATGTGCGAGTCTTGACTGTGATAGCGTTTACTGCGCCTTGAGGAGCATTCAGCACTGTCCCTTCTCGAGTTGCGGGTCTTTACATCAGTTTTTCCATACCAAACATTCTTACACCAATTGGGATTCATCTTGTCCGACTGGAACTATTGACGATACGACTTCGATTCCCTCGCTTTATGCAACACTCACTTGTATATTCATCCACACCAATCGCTTGGGCTCCCTTCAAACGATAATAGTAATATGGGACCCCTTTTGTAGCGATTCCATTCAACTAATTGCAGATAGAACGTTGTCGGGCAGATGAGGCGCGAGCCCTTGGGCTTATTCTATACAATGGCCGCATTTAGTACCCCTTATACGACCAGGTTTTCCAAAATCTTAAGATTCCTCATATAAATGAATAGGAACAGAGTCCAAATGAGAAAAATAACAATCCCGTGTTGCCCAGAAAACAGGGCTTCGTCTACAGTATTTTTGCAGAAAATAGGGACCGTATGGGTCGAGAAAGAGCAAGTTATGAACAAATGCAGCTACTGATACAAAACCAATGTGAACTAGCTGGTTTCGATGAAAGGAATAATTATCAGCATGGTGTCGATTTACTCGGCTTGTTCAGGTGTTCATAAGCTCCAATCAATTCTTGATATGAAACAAATGACCGATTTCATCTTTCTCGCTCACCATTTCGTCACGTGTAGCTGGCACGGAGTACTCAGCCGGGCAAAAGACTGAAATTTCCCAGTACTATGAAGCAAGTCAAAATGAGGGACAAATAGGGGAACAACCACAAATAGGATAGTTGTGTCTGGTGCCCCAAATAGGCCAGACATAAGCGCTCTAACACGACAGCCGTGTGCGGCATCTATAGCGCTAGGCTACGGGTCCTTCCTAATTGAGCGACTGCTTCCAAGTTGTTAAGATTCGTAGCATTTTGCAGCAGTGACAGAGGGTAACAGTGCATATAAGGGGGGTATGGTCGGGATTGTGGGCATACCCACTAAGACGTATCAACAAAGACCGTCGGTTCTAGACTATTTCATTTCACTTTGCAAAAGCATAAAGCGCTTGGGATCGGGCCCTATATTGTGGCTAAGGAGTGGTGTTGCTGGGTATTGCCATAACTGAAAAAGATGATTTAAAAAATACGTGCGAGGCAGAGTTATCAGAGAGGTATGGCGCCTAACGCTCGAGATTACTGGCAAAAAGGAGTACGACGGCTGAATGTTGCACACTTGAGGGTTGATTGATCAGAAAACTTCCGGTCATTTACCTCCATCTTATGAGACTGCAAGTGTTCCAAGTCATGTGAATTGGTCACTGCACTACTGCCTTGCAAATCAACGACAGACCGTCGAACCCATTCGGAAATGCGGCTTTCAATCGCACGGGGGGAGACGTTGGTTGGTGGATGGCCCGTCACATTGTGCAACATAGTGGTTGAGTTTGCGGGAAGATGCACATCAGAGTAGGTTGTATCCACGGAGTTGACTTCACTGGCCATCACCTCCAGCGGTGGTTCTTCACCATGTGCACTCAGAAGAGCAAGTTCCTCGGGTGCGAACATTCGAGTAGGCTGTCTTGCACGCGACAAAACTAGTTCGATGTGAGAGGGAAGATTGCGCAGACAACGCACTGTACTGGTACGTGACATGCCACGGAGACGACGGCCGTTGACCTGTGACAAAGTGAAACAGATGCTCAGAGGAGAGAAGGAGCAAAACGTACAGCAAAAGTGAAGACGCCACTGAACGGCGTAATACAACCATTCACGTCTTCTCAATGTTGACTCTACATATGAACGGCCCGTTCTTGATAACTGCATAGGTGACGGGACTGGAAACGAACATACAGACGAAACTTGGCCTGTTTCATAAATGTTCTGTCCCCGAACAGATAATTCGGTCTACAGGTTTCCCGCGCTGAATCGAAGCATGAAAAGACCCCGCAAAGATATATGTAAGTCTTGGTGACCCGAAACAACAAATTCGCGTTCTTACATAACAAGCAATACATTCTCCCACAGAATGACAATCAGCATATAAAAAAACTGTAGAACATAATGGATAAGCAATGAACTAAAGATCAAGGTAGAGAGGGGATCGAGAGACACACCTGCAGAAGTTCATCGCCAGGTTGGATGATATTCAACGAACCAAGCAGACCACCTGGGACAATAGACTGAACGAAGTGACGGGGTTCAGCCGATACGGGCTGGTCAGTTCGCGAAGTGACGGGGTTCAGCCGATACGGGCTCGGTCAGTTCGCCGCCATTGGCTACTGGAAAATTCTCGCGTTTTCGAACCCAGTCTACGCCTTCGACACTGATCCCTAAACTGGAAGCACTTTTGGGTTTTTTAATGTGTAGCACCTGAAACGTGGTAAGATGAAATCAAATGGAGTGAAAATGGATCTAAAAAAACAGAAACGAGAGACCAAATATGCTCCTCAGCATCGATCAGTTTGGCTTTATGCAATGATAATTAAAAACCTTTCTGTTATGCGAAACCTCTGCTTAGGTTCAAAGGACTTGATAGGAAGTGAAGAACACATGGATCCACATAAATCCATAAACCCCTCAGAGCATGACGGTTAAGAGCTTTGATTAGACAATTTTGAACGACATTGATACTCATGTGTTGGATAGCCCTAGTTAACCACTTCTGCCTGAAACAAACTTTTAGAGATTTGGGCCACCGGCACGTGATCACAAGTCGAGGGAACTTAGGAATCGTAAATGCGATGGCAGAACCCCAAACGGACCAGTAAACAACAACGGAACCGATTGCCAGAAAGTCAGTTGACTTTGGAATATTAGACGATCTCAGGTGAACGACACAAACGCAAGCAGGAAAACAGAACAAACCGACCCACCCAACAGCAGTGCCGCCATGACGAAATGTGGATAACACAACTGCTGAACCCGGAGACCAAACGAACAACTGGTCACCGAAATCGGGGGGCAACTAAACATTCCAGTTGTGTGACCTATGTTGTGTGGAGCAAGAACCTATGAATCGCAGCCGAGGTCGAAACTTTCGCTGGCGAACAGTGAGGCAATGTCAACTTGAAGACAAGGCACAGTAAGTCTACTGTCGAGAGCACAAATGGTAAGCTTGGCACTTATTGTCTTTTTACAGCAAGCAGTAATTTCCGTGGTTCACAAGTTGCTTTCTACAAAGCTTCCCGCTTCGAAATGCAGTTTTTCAGCTCCTGTTGTCCACACATGCCTTACGGTTTGTCTGTCCGTCCATTTGTTTAGCTACCCACCAACAAGATTTTCTTCTTCAAATTCCAATAAAACTCAAGGACACTCTCCGTAAGCGGAAAAGTGTCAGTCGGCTCGACAGGCTGCAAAACCCTGCCTGATATCGTGCCCATCATACTGAATACGATCGGAGCAAAAACCAAAGAACTTGAACAGGTGACAAACGATACAATACAGAATAAACACTTATCGTACCGTGTAGGTATGGAATATGTGAGTGTACTCTTTCCGACAATGGTGGTTTGCTACTGACCGTTAAGCTACTCAGCAGAGACATGCAACCATATGCATAATTAATTGAAGCAAAGTAGAGCCATCGCCTGCAAAAGCATGCAATGGAATGTGTACGCGAGTGTGACAATGATTAGGAATAATCTAACTAAAGGGTGTGTAGTCAGGAACACAATCAGGGAAAATCGCGCGGTAACTTACAATCACATCACAGTCTGGTCCGATCAAGGGTTGCCATACGTTGCGCATGAGCTCTTCTAGTTCAGGTGTCACCTCTCCGGCTGCAAGCATGTTGTCAAAAAGGGTTATGAGGAAAAGAAAACATGTTAGTGATGCTCATGGCATTCGAAAAAGACATCCACCGACCGATTTTCTTTGACAAAAAAGGAACATAAAAACCAAATCATGGTAATGGTTACGAGGGCGAACTAACACATTCATACCTCAACAATTTACCTTGTGATCAAGGCCAATCCCGGCTGAAGAATACTACTCAGTCCCGTTGCGGAGGTTGGAATCCAAACCACAGATTCAGTTCGGCACTGACTCGATAGAATGTACGAAACCAGTTCACGTGAAGAAGTTTACATACTCCCCACAAATCATTATTTCAATCCTATAGTTATCGTGCCGAAGTTCATGTACGACTTTCCGGGTGTCACAAAGTAGTCCCCACGATATTTTACCTAGAGTTAACTTGATTGTCTTCAATCCTTGTGTGTACATTCCAGCTCATCCACGCTTACTTCTAGACAACGTTGTCTATCTTCGATGACTCGGGTTCTCTTTAACTCGTTCCCGGAGGCCTAAACGTCTCAATTCACTTGTACAGGAATACAGTGGATCTGCAGATACGACCTCGGTTCTTCAACACCGAGCCACACCCGATAGATGCAGTCAAACGATAAGATCATTGATTTCGTACCTCCGACATCTATCTGAAAACTGTTGAATCTTCTAAATCCGACAAAATGGCAACTCTGGTAGTCATAGACTGAAAATTTAAAGCAGCGTCCATTTCCATCCGCGAAAAACTTTCAGCACTGAACGAGCCTACTCTGAAACAAGCATATCAACTTGCTAAATCCCTCGAATCGGTTCAAAAACAGTCGCAACCATATGTAATTAACGAACCTACATCCTACTCTACGATTCCACCCACCCCATACAATTCCGAACGACGTGTCGATCCGACCACTGCTTCTGTGAAACCCGTTCAAACATGCTTATGATAGACATCCTCATTCAAAGTGCCCTACTCAAGAAACCGTTTGTAACTCTTGCAGTAAAGGTGGTCACTTTCACCGCATGAGTCATTAAAAAATACCACCAAGTTCCATACAGGTTGTACAGTGAAGCCTACTTTATCGTCGTTAATTCCAGCACGTGCCATCACAACTGTCGAAGTCAATGGCAGGGCTTTCTTTTCTCTGATCGATACAGGAAGTTTCTGTAGTTTTATTAGTTTTAAGTCGTCAGGATAAAGTCCATATCACTATCCTGTCCAATAGCCGGTTACGCTTGTGTTTCTACACTATAAACGAGTACATCGTACAGTGAATTGAAACTCTCTGTAGTATCAAACCTCTACAAAGACGTTCTACCTGGACATGACTTCCACACAGCAAGAAAGAAATTTCACTAGGCGGCGATCGTGATGCGTTCATCAGCTGCGCCAACTTATCCCCAGCCAAATCAAGACGATATCATCCGGGTGATGAATTCATTCGCGTCGATGTTTAATGCTCTTTGCAAGAAGACATTATCGAGCCGTCAACATCTCCCTGGAAATAGCAAGTTTTGTTGCCAACAATGTCACTCACAAACGCTGGATGGCTCTTGACTACAGTCAAACTATCAACCAGTTCACACATCTAGACGCAGACCCTCTGCAACGCCTGGACAAAATGCTCGAAGATACTTCGCACTACGAAGTCTACAGTACGTTAGACCTCATGTCTGATTACCATCAATCCAAGAACTCTGCATTCGACAAACCTTCCACATCATTCGGAACCTGTGGTGGCCGGTTTCAATTTCGTCGCATACTCTTAATGTCACAAACGGTGCAGCATGCTTCCAGCGAACTATTGACAGTGTCTCCAAACCCGAAAAGCTGAAAAGTACGTAAGCCTCCATAGACAAAGTGACCATCTGTGGCAATACCAAAGAGGAGCAAGACCTCAATCTTCGAGCGTTTTCAAAGTCACGAGGAAGTATGGAATCACACTCAACGATAACAAAACCGTCAATGCTTCAAAAATTATCTGCCTCCTAGATTAAAAGGGTTCAAAGGGTATCATAAGGCCCGATCCTGAATGCATGGAATCCATCTGAAAGTTACCTCCTCCGCTTACTACCACGGAAATGCGATGCGTCGTCAGTATGTTCCCGTGTTATGTCCAGTGGATATCTTCGTTTTCCAGCAAAATTAACAAATTGATAAAGGACACTCAATTCGAGCGAGGAGAATCATTCTACCATCGAGAAAGAGGCGTACGCTATCGTCGAATCCATCAGGAAATGATGGCATTACCTACTCGGAAAGAACCTTGAAATTTATCACCTATCAGTGTTCGGTCACATTCATGTATGGCGGTTAACAGAAGCGCAAAGTGAACAACGACAAAATACAGTGCTGGAGGATCGAGTTATCCGAGTGAAAGTATGACGTCACATATCAACCTGGCAAAGACAACCATGTCGCCGAAACTGTCGCGCAACGTATGTGCTTCCGCGGGGAACAAAAATCAAATTAGACTGCTCTCTAACCCACTCTGCCATCTAGGAACTACTCGTATGTTTCATTGTATGCGCTGCAAATCTTTCCTACACCGTCGATGATGCCAAGCGTCTTATTTACTCCTGCAACGTATGCCGAGCTGAAGCTAAGATTTTCGGAAACCCTCTGATAGATTTACTAAAGCAATACAACCTTTTGGGCGCCTGAGTTTGGACTTAAAGGCCCCTTAAAATCTAATACACACAACCGCCACATGCTCACGACAATGGACGAGCTCTCCAGGTTCACATTTGCATCTGTGTGTCCGGGTATAACCTCAAAAACTGTGGTTGACTGTCTCAGACAAATTGTTTACTCGGCCCCTTAAAATCTAATACACACAACCGCCACATGCTCACGACAATGGACGAGCTCTCCAGGTTCACATTTGCATCTGTGTGTCCGGGTATAACCTCAAAAACTGTGGTTGACTGTCTCAGACAAATCTTCTGTTTACTCGGAATCCAAGTCTATATACATTCCGGCAAAGGCTCATCGTCCATGGCGTCTGAGATCAAAAGCTTTCTTCGGAGAAAGGTGTTGCTGAGTCATACATAAGCTTATAATCCACAGTGTAACGGTCAGGTAGAGTGTCTTAAAGATACCCTCCCGAAAACGATAAACTTGACATTGAAAACTCACAATTTGCTGCCAACTCATTGAGAATCGGTACTTCCCGATGCTCTTCACAAACTCCAGTCATTAATATGTATAGTCACTAACCATACTTCACACGAAATTTTTTTCAGTAAGCACGCCGCTCAACCTTTGGGATCTTGTTGCCATCTTGGTCGACCACCTCTGGTCCAGGCTGGCTGCAGCGAGGTGGTAGGTCAACCTAGAACCAACCACTAGTAGAAGTCGACCTCCTGATCTGCAACCTACACTATGCACCCATTGCTCGTCGAGACAGAAGGGTCGAAACCGTGTCCCTTCGCCATCTAGCTCCAGCGGTTCGTAGTTCAACTGACAGCGTTCTCAATCTGTCTGAACCGAATAGGAATACCAAACACCTAAATATGACTGAAACAACTGAACGTCAGTCCGATAGCTCTCAAACTTCTGAACCCTCTTTTGTACCGCCCTAAGACCAACCGAAGAATCCTGAAATTCTGGGATGCGGACGCGCTCATCCTCTCAGCTTGAGAAACAGAAAGGTCTGATTTAGAACATCATCTATCTATCATACGTGCTCATTCGCACGATTCCCGGGTGAGTGTCATGATTGTTGTCCGTTTATTAATATAATCGCCCTACACACTCGTACTGAATCTTGGTATGCAAATTTCAGCTCATCCGGGCTAGCTCTAAGCTAAGTAAAACGTTGTGTACCCTCGATGAGTCGAACTCACTTCCCACTCGTTCTCGGACGCATTCTAAATGGCTGTCACCACATACACCAGTAGTACTGCTAGTTGAGGGAAGTTCATACACAACCACACAGAATACAGCGTCACAGCACCGCGCGTTATGATCACCCAACTGCTAACCATGAGCACCAACGAATTATTCAATACGAACCAAATACTTTTAAAACCAGAGCGTCTGGTGCTGCTCTGCTGTCTGGAGCTGTATCAAAAGTCAATAGCGCCTTACCCCCCACCTGCGCCCTTCGGCTACACCAGCCACCTGCAGCCGAACAGGTTAGACTATTGAATCATCGGTATCGGGATAGGGTCCCGAAAGAAAACTCTACTGTTCACTGCGTAGCTGGTGAGACTTCTAAATCACGGTTAACAGTATGGGTTCCAAACAAAACCGTGCATCGCAATGCTTTGTGGGTCAAACTTTTCAGTCAAGGGTTTCAGGTGGGGCGCATCGATCAAACCTTCTTCAGCCTGGGCAACCGCGGAATATCATTTGCCGGCACAGTTCGCCGACTTCCTTTCCCGAACTCCGCTCACCCCACAAGCAAAGGTTGCTAAGTTATCGGGTAAAAAACACTGGTTCTGTCATCCACGCGGGTGACGCGAATGATCAAGTCGGTCGTCTGAGCTCCTTGTAATCACATCTGGGCGGTCAATTCGAAGTTTACACCTCACAGACAACGGACACCGACATCTCCAGTAGTGTGCTCAGCGTCAATTGCTTCCGACCGGCACGAATTTTCAACACAAACCTTCGCACCGCGTAACATGGCAGCCACCAACTGCAAATCGCCCGTGGGCCCAATGATATCACGTGGCTTTCGGCCACCGGAGAGCCACAGTTCAAGATTACCGTTGCTTTTGATGGGACACAATTTGATTACGACAACCCATAGTGCGAGAACGCCTAGAAATTTTCTTCGAAAACGATGACGAGTCTGTCCAACATCCCCGATACGATCAAGTGACCACTACATATTGTTGCCGTCACGTCTTGACAGATGACAGAAAATACAAAACAGCAGGCAAAGGGTAAGATGGTGCATAGAAAACGCGCAAACGCCAAATAGGTGAGAACCTAAGGAAAGGCCGAGGGCTGGGGTAGATAAAAAAAAAGCCCACATAAAGGGAAGAGAAGCCATGCGCTACGTAAACTAACACGGTTGAGTGGTAACAGGAAAGCTAAGGTCAGAGAAACGATAGGTGAAAGAGACGGCTCATCAGTCCTTTAGCAAAAACACAAACTGGTAAGATGGGCCGAACGATTTGGGGGATAGTCTGGCTGACCTGAAACACAGCTTCTAAAGAGGATGCATACGGGGGAAGGTGAAATGCGTAACCAAATTAACTTTCAGAAGAAATCAAAAACTAAATATCCCTACTGGAACGCGAGAAGTCAACCTTCCTTCAAAAATGGCACACAAACGCTAAGTGGAAACTACCACGGCTTTAGCCTGGTAACCGTGGTATCAAAGGTTAATGGTATACAGGGAGAAACGTAGCGTGGAAACCATGCTGTATCATCCTACAACGGGACGCATGGACCACATATTCACCCCCGTACAGATTCTGAAACAGCGACGCCGCTTCCATCAATGCTGATAATCCTTTACTTGACAGCCTCTTTCGTTTAAATGGACTGTCGGCAACTATGACATTGTTATGGAGCATTAATTCTGGACCCTTTTGGCGCACGGTTCGCCACCTTCCACAGAAGTGAGAAGCTTTACGAGCTCTCACCTAAGCACACCAAGTCAAGTGCTGTCCTCTCTCATCCAACCTCTTCAAATTCATTATTGATATTGTTATGAAAGATTCACTTCCAAGGTCTCATATCTAGGGGGTCGACATCCGCCCAGGCTCCTCGCTCACGTATATCGAGTACAGAGAAGATAGAGCTGACGCCATCGTCATACAAAAAAATCGTTCAGCTGTAGCCCCCTTTCGGTGCCTAACTGCCATCCAACCCGTAGGAAACACGAGGGCTGGGATACTGCCAGGTTGCCCAAGCCTAGACAGAGGAGGTCAAGAGGCAGAGGTCGGGTTCGAACCACGGGCCTTGCAGTCAGTAAATTAGCGCTCTAACCACTGAGCCATCTCGCCCCCATCGTAAGACAAACAATATTAATTTACCTAAACAGCACGGCATCAGGGTTTAGCATGGACTTCACAGCTGTAGGGTGCCGCTACAAGGCTTGACAGGCTCGAGCCCGAACCTCGTGCTCGCGAATGGGCTGGTTGATGGTTGTAGGAGGTAAATTTGTCTACCTGAGTAGCTGTTTCAGCCACAGCTGCTTAGCCAAAGAGGATAGTTCCGTCCGGATTGGGAAAACCAGGGCAGCGTTTGTGAACCTGCATCACCTGTGGAGTAGGAGTGACATCAGTCTATCTGTCAAGGGTCAAGTGTGAGAAGCTATGGTGCACTCCATATTGTCATGTGGGTCAGAGACCTTGAGTATATTTGTTGGGAGGGTTAAAAAACTTTCAGCGTTTGACCATCGACGTCTTCGGAGCTTCATGAGTCTTGTGGGAACACCGGATCAATGATGCCCAATTACGTCGTATGGTTTTTGGAAAAATTAAATCGCCCAGTGTAAATTAACTATCAAGTTACCGTAGAGGTTGCACTGGCATGGGCAGTGCTACTTGTACCAGTCGATCGACTTCCTTGAAATCCCTCTTAGTAAAACCATACGAACGGCGGAAACGGGCCAGACAAGACCAAGCAATGATTTGGCAGCGAAATATACGAGCAATTAACGGGAAATTCAGTTTCGCTGATGATTGACGAGTCCCTGATTGAGGAACCCCAAGACGGGAGACACTAATGGTTAGACATGGCACAGCCGTGCGTTTAATGGCGCATATGCATCCAAGCCGTCGTCTCCATGCACAGCTCCCCTCCCCATCACACCAAAGAGAAGTCCACTGACTCCCCTGTACTCGGAGTTATTGTCATTGATTCGATTCCAGAACAACTAAGTATCCACCCCCAAGTTTCCGGGCATTGAAATTGGCCAGCAGAAAGAGAGCCGCCCAGAGACGGCGATGCAATCGGGCCAAATAGTTCCGTCCGTTCTGACTTAGATGTTGTGAAGCACTGATAAGTTTAGAAAATCTTGCTGCCGGGAGTCCGAATCGCATAGTTATCTTCGAGTTGACGCAGTCTGTCCCACTCACGATTCTTCGATTTGTATGATCTGCAACCGCAAATCAGATATCGTGCCTACACCGGCTCTTTTGGTTGTTCTACTCCAGTTGAAAGTGTATTCGGAGCCAGCCCTTCATGGTGAGCCAGCCAGGATTCAGTGAACATAGAAAGGTTTACCTAACAGCGTCCGAGTTCCTTTGCAAGAACAATTCGGTTTTCGGAAGGACACCGTCATTCATACTTAGGAACGCCCACCAGCTCAAGATAGTGTAGTGACGCCGCCCTATCTACGCCATAAGCCTCATCACAATATCGCTCTACAGTCGTCTCTGGAAACATTCGGTAACTCGCTCAAACTGCCTCTTCAAGCATCACGCTATTATGCTGTCGATGATGAGGACTCCCAGGAGCAGGAAGCAAATATGCGGTTTGCGTGCAACCTAATATACCTCGTTACTCCGCCAGCCAGGTTGTTTGTCATTCCAACGTATTGTAAGTTTCTACATTGCTTGCATTACTGGGAGTGTAGATATTTTACTTGAATTTCGTTCAGCATTTATAGTTCCACTGAAGTTATTTTCAGCTCGAACGTCAGTAAGAAAACGATACAGCAGTCAGTTTAGCCACAAGTAAGCAAATACGCTGAGATCTTCTATGGTAAAAGCCTACGCACGAGCGCTGCAACAACGGTGAAATATGATGGAAGTAAACACACAAGGACCCCACGTAGTTTTTCAATTCCAAAATGACTGCCGAAGCTGACACACTGTCGCTCCAACCGATAGGTTTTCCAATTAATTACGATTGATTACATAACACAAAATTACATGAATTCGGAAAAATTGAGCTCACCGAAAAATTCATTGGACCTATCTCGTAAAGAGTTCCGAATGTGAGAGTTGGCGAAACTGATCAGGTTAGTAACATACTTCCGAAATGACTTCTTTGATGGCATGCTAACACCAGTGGTAAAAATCCAGGCACAACAACCGCCCGCTATCTTGGCATGTCAGCCTTGGGACCGACCTTGAAATCGTTTTCTACACAATCGTTCAGTTCGGAATGCAGTCAGATTCAACGCATCCGGGTTACACTTTGTCCTGTTTGTTGGTGTTTTTCGTCCTAAGATCCAACTTTTCTCAGCCCCTCTTCTCCGTGTACATCAGCAGATCAGGCATCTTGGAAAATCACACCAAGCGACTGATTTTCACCCCGCATTTCCCCACATCTAACTGATCAGTATTCGCACAATGGAATGCGAATTTTCGAAAAGCCGTGACTTGTTCATGATGGACTAAAACATTCAAGTTATTGAGTACAGAGTACTAGTTCAAACTTTTCGGCCCGATTTGGGCATCCAGGGGTTTTAGCGATGCTGAAGAAATACTCCACTAAGCTTTTCCACCACAGGTATGATAGCGCCAAATTTAGTGAGCCGCAAATATATAAATTTAGACTTGATAGCTTTTAAGCTGGGCGCATAAGGAGTAAAATTCAACATTCTGGTGCAAAGAGTTCAACTCCTGTTCCAGAGATTCGGCAGCTAAGAGCATTGTGTGGCTAATGGTCCCCTGCATTTAACATTCCGGAGAGAAATTTGAGCATCTCCTCCAATGGACGAATTAAACCAAACATTTCATGATGCGCACTCAGCCTCTGTGAATCGCACTGGGGCTGAAAGATTATGTTTGCTCTCTTGTTGTTTATTTTCTGTATTAACCAAGGTCGTTTCTCGCCTGAAATCCATGCAATAACCTCAGGGGAAGCAGGCTAGTTTTTGCCCTGATCTACAGTTCTCTAGGCTTACTGAACAAATGAGCTGTTTTTTATTCATGCTGCTTGAGTCTATACCAACATTAAACCGTTCCCATAGCCAGAATTCAGGAGATTTCAACTGTTCCGCACGCACTTGATTTGTATTGTTAAATTTAAAACTGGTTATATTAGATGAAACATGGGCACCAACACCCTTTCAAAACACTCCATTGGTCAACACCCAACACACTTTCATTTCCAAGAATCTTCTGTGGCACCGGCACTCCTTTTATGCCCCCTACTATCTCAGGACCGATTTCATATACTTCCACGGCGGATTAGTAGCCACATTTTCGCCTTAAAGTTTTGGCGCATAGGAACACGTTGAGCATGAAAATTCAATTCTTCCTGATTTCAGCCTAGATGAAGCGGTCAGAAAACTGTCCTAGATATTTAGTGATCAGACATAATTATTCAACTCTAGCGCCCAAAGTAATCTGACAACAAGTCTGGTGGAAAACAGAGCAAGCCTCCCTAAATTTACTGTCATTGCGACGAGTGGCATTTTGCCCTCCACCCTAGGTTTGACTGTCATAGATGTTCCAGGTGAAATTGTCGTGGTTGCAAAGAGACGTTATGTGAGCCCCAGATACCACCACCAACAGCACACTACCATGCGGCTCAAAACTGCGGTTCACCTCAATGACTGCGACGTTCAAATTTGATTTTGCCTTCCAACGGAAGTTTGTGACAGTTCGAAACAAAAACGCCCCAGTCCGTTTGGGGCTTGATACGGGCTCCAATGAAAGCAGTATAAAGTGATATATGGCTGCACATTTGTTGATGACCGACCGCAAGCCGCTCCTTTTTGTGTTTGGCTCTTGGAAGGGGATGCCCATGTGTACCGCACCTTTTCCAGTGATGGGAAACTTTGCATCTGGGAAACGACTTCAAACCCAGTAAGCGGATCGCCATGAGCTCCGGGCAGGTCGATGCACTGTAGCATCTCATCGGTTCAAGCCAACCAAAACTCGATGACAGTGGTCGCAATGGTTGCCATAGAAACTGGGGTGCACTACGCAACTCCAGAAGCGGTATGAATTATGTTTCTTTCGAGAGACTCATTTGGAACCCAGCTGAATCGCTCGTTTATGATGTTCTCAGGCAACTGAATGTGCTGCACCAGGCCACCTCGTGTTCCAGTCGCTACGATATACGAGATACCCCGATACATGAATATCGTTGTAATGTACTACTCATAAGGTTGCTGAAAATTCATCGAAAGCCCACGACCGACTACGCCCGTCTTGGGGCTCACCAGGTAGCCGCAGTCCCCGAGTTTCCGTTAACCTTATGTCAACCTTAAGCCTGAGAACATCGTAAACGAGAGATTCAGTTGGGTTCCAGCCGAGTCTCTCGAAACAACTAAATTAGTTTGCAAACGAGAGTATTTCGCTAATTTCGTGCAATTTGGTTTCAATGTAACATAAGTTTGACGGAAACCCGGGGACTGCGACTACCGGATGAGCTCCAAGAAGGGCGAAACCGGTCGTGGACTGTCCATGGATTTTCAGCAACCTTATGAGTGGTACATTACAAAGATATACAGTTTAAATTCTCTTAGTGACTGCTGATATGGTCAACCAGGCCACCGACCATCAGGTCATCACTTGCCACCACAATTAATGGCCACTCAACCGCACGAAGAATAGATTACCGTAAGACCTCAACTGGCGTGAAGCAGTATCACTAGTGTAGAGGCACTTTTTATTTTAAGAGCACGCAATTTCAAAGGAGTTGCAGTCAGCAGCCTGAATCACTTCCAGAACCCAGGAACCAGCAGGATGAAGACCTTTGCTCGGGGGCATGCTTACCGGCCTTTAATGGATTCCTAGATTGAGAAGATCCCCGAACTCTGACTGCGGTGAGGTGAGGCATAGAAGACACTCGTAAAAGCCTACCTACTGTCGTGACCAAAGTCAACCAGAACCTGGTCTCTTCTTGATACCGACTATGAGAACATGCTGCTGACCAGTAGCATCTAATTGCGGCCAAAGCCTACATCAAGTGGCCGAAAATCCCCCCGGTGAAGAACCCCAGAAATTCCGCCACAGTCGTGGAACTCTAGTGCCTGTTATGTCGATTTCGGACGCCAGAAACTATTGCATTGGGAAATGGCCGTCAATTCATGATATCAGCAGTTGCACAACTTTGTCAAGAATGTAGCGTAACTCATGTCAAACGTCTAGGTGGAGTGGCCCGTTGGGGCCTGAGGCGCGTAATACAGGTTTTCTAAATGGAACAGACTGAAGGAAAGGTCCCTGCCGGTATACTGAACGGCTGTAAACGAAAATTCACCTGATCGAATGCTAGTAAGAATGACGCTGCTCCAAAGCAAGCTTTAAACAGGGCACGACACAAGCCACCGTAAGCCGAGGGCGAAAAACACGTTCAACCGGTACAATGGCGCGACTGCGCGCTCCGTGGTTGAAGGCCAGAGTGTTGGTTATAGACCAAGACGGCTCGCTTAAGGAATATCCTTCACGGCAAAGTGCTCTGCGAGATTTAAGTTGACCTGGCCAGGCGGACGCGGTACAAAGTCAAAATCCGGTCGACAGATGCGCATCTCCTGCCCATGTTGAGTCTAAATATGATTCCGGATGCTACTGATTTCGGTATTATTGTGGAAAATCTACCAGATGCCCAGTCTGGGTAATGCATTACATAAGCGGCTCCGGAAGATAGCATCCGAAATCCAGTTAGGCCATTCAAATCAAGCCCCCGTCTTCGAAGCACAGATCTAGGAGTTTGTTAGGCTTAATTCCGCACCGGAACCGCTGCTACGACGAGAAGCCTCGACCGTGCGTAATGAGCCAGATGGCCGGGGCCCCCCTCCGTCCAGAATCATGACGGGACTTAACTGGGCGGAAGTATGGACCCAACAGCTGGTCATGGTTCAGTGCACGCTGAATATCGGTTGCCAATTAGCATCCAGGAAACGTCAGAAATCCCAAACCAAAACCATCTCAATCTACGTTCATATTTTTGCAGCTCACCAAATTTTAATGTCCAGAGAGCAATCATATATGTGGCGGAAAAGCATGGTGGAATAATTTCCAAGCGTCACTTAGACCCAGGGATGCCTTAATAGAGCCCAAAAGTTTGAGTTGATATTCTGTAATCAATCGCCCGAATGTTTTAGTTCTTCAGGGACGCGTCATGGCTTTCGAAAATTTCATTCAATTGCACGAATACTGAGCGTACTCATCACCACATCTGCAACCGCAAATATAAAAAAAATCCAGCTGAATTCCAACTGCGCTGACTCGTAAATGTACGTCATATGTGGGAGACTCGCGAATCGGCGAAAATTTGTGCTATTTAACAGATTGTGCAAGTGTCAGGAAAAGGCCGAAATCCTGTTCCGCACAAGGATTTTGAAACTGAGTTTGATTTCCACTATCCGTTCTATCAGCCGGGAATACCAAATTTAGGCTGCGGTCAGCCACTCCGGTGCCACTCCGTAGCACCGGCTGATTCCTCATGTGAATCAGCATTTAATTAACTTCCTCTTGTGACTACTCATGAGTAACGTGATCTACATTTGTTTATTATAACTCCGTATTGAATCCCTTCCTGACCGTTAACGCGCTTCCGATCCCACTTCATTGCTGCTCATGCCCCAGTAACAGATGGGAACATTTCGTTGCCCGTCCACCTTTTCTTGTAAGTTCGTGTCAGTTCTACCTATTGCCGAGCGACCGCTCCGGTGAATAAACACACATAGCGAAGATCGAACCCAGCGCTCCTTGAATGGTAGGAGGGCGGGTTATCCGCAGCACCATAAGGACTTCCCTTGGGGGCCCATTTTTGTATCAGTTACATAGCGCACCTGTCAGTTAGTTTTTCGAGATTTGTTTCAAACGAGCCTATACGCGCTATCCAATTTGTCACGTCACATGAGCTGCTGCATTGCGGCGCTATCCGTCAGCCGCCTTACCTCACAAGCGTGCCGGTTATTTCTGTGCTCATACCTCTCTATACGACCAGTTTACACTGACCTACTGATTGTATCTGTAAGTTTGCATATTGCTTGGTACTTACGGTTGCTTCCACTGTCCGCTTCTGTCTGTCTGCTGTCTCACTGACCATTTTTCTGCTCCTGCCGATAGCGCCACTATTAATTATATGCTTTGCTTAATCCACTATGTTCCTTAACACGTCTTCTGTAGAACCATTTCTTGACAGCTATCAATATATCACCTACTGATCTCATCTGTCTGTTCCAATTGACAAGTGGACGCAAACTGCGTATGATCCGATGGCCGCAATCGTCCTGTGCGATCCTTAGCTGCTCAGATTGTGCAGCTCCTGAAACACATGCTAAGGCACACGTCATTTGACTCTATCTGAATTCTTTAAACCTATCTCTCACCTCCCAAATCTCGGTAGCCTAAACATTTCTGATTGATGATATCATGGAGGACCTACGACACTGAAGCCAGTCATACCAAGATAAAAACCATACATCAGAGCTGCCTCTTCCATAAAAAATTTCTCTACTCAGTTATCCTACCAGCGGTCATTTTCGCACCCTGGCATATACTCATCAAAATTACGTATGCAGCGGGGATGATGAAGAGTATTTGCAAAACAAGTTTTTTCGACAGGGTGAAAATAAATCGTAGGCATTAAAAGTGAGAGAAGTGGCGACCAGTAATAGCTAAGGGTTGCCACTGTCATGGAACTGAATTGCTGAAGAACGCGCCCTCATCGTTGGTTGGCGCAAAGTTAGCGGAAACTACTTCTAACGGGATTTTTTTATCTATTTTTAAAGTGGGAATTTATAACCGCGCAAAATAACCGATAAATACCATGACTTACCATAGATAATACTAGGATCGGTAATCCGACCACCGATAACACGGTTGGAAGGTGAAGACTGTGAAGTTTGCTTGCAAAGCAATAAATTTCTGTGGATTCTTGTGGGAAATTTGTAAAAATCCACCTCTTGTTCAACAGGAAAATCCAGATAACTTGAAAGACTGGGCACAGTTTTACGACGTTTCTCAGCATACTGCATGCCGAATCGTTCGACACTAGCCGAACTGTTTGCATTATGATTATCACCGCTACTGTCGAAGTCTTTTATACGATCAAGGTTATGCAAGGTTTCTTCGGGCCCCAAAACCGGTGGTTCGACTGTTGAGGACATCTGGTTGCAGGTGGAAGGATGCTCAAGGCACTCAGTAAGTTCCACGATCATTGGGCTTTCTATAAAGTTGGCGTCCTGACGAAACACTCTCAAAAGCGTGTCAGTTTGTCGGAGATGCATGGGAATGGCAGCTGAGTTTGTCTTGCATTTTTGGTAGGTGTTGACCAGCCGCGGGCAAGCGTTGACCGCTGAAAGCGGGTAGGTGAAAAACGTAAGAGTTACGTGAGATATAAAAAGTACATCTCTTTAGCAAGGTAGTCGTTGAGGAAAGTGATACCCGTATAGTAAAATATGATTGGATGTAGCATGACTCCATGTCTTTGAATGGAAGACACTCAAAGTTTTGTTTTCGATCAGGTTGCAAAACAGCTTCCGCGCCCTTGGGGTTGCGACTACATGTTCAGAGAGGGCATCTCTGGACAGGTTCAGGATGGCACGCATCGAATAACCCTTCAAGTGTAGGACGACCTAGAATTTGTAGTGGGACCCGTGAGAAAAAGGAATAACCCCGTGTCGGTTGTTTGAGGTACGAGAGTAAGAACTCACGTCCGAAAGTTAAACTTAATGTGGTGAACATGATTGATATGCTATTCATTGCTCTATTAATTATTCTCTTGCTTCAATATTCCATATGCTGTACATTTACGCCAATTCGAATACATACTTACTACTTGTTACGCTGATCTGAATTCTGGATTTCTAGTTCGTCTGGTTATACTGTTATACATGCGGAACTTAATTCTCACACTCAGCCTATTCATTCCCAAATGGTGAGGCGATGTAGTCACCCAACTTCACTTTGTGTTAAGGTGGGGCTACGGACAACACACAACTGTTTGTCTTGCTCTGTGTTTGTGCTGCTGTGCTGTAATTCTGAAGTTATCTTCGAATAACAAGATTTACTTGTGAGCCAGATGTGGACAAGGCTGACTCATCCTTCATTTTTATTGCATTCAACGCTTTTTAATAACCATGAGGTATCAAGTATTTGTGGCGTTGTCTGCTTGCCTGTAGTCTACACACGGATCCTAAGAGCAGCAGTAACCGTAACCAGACAAAGCAATAGGCGGTTGGGGAATGTAGTAAAGGGATTTTCCTCAGCTTAGTTCTCGGTCTGATCTTCCCAAGCTAGCCTTCACGTCAAAACCACCAAAGTTGCACAAGGTCTATTAATGCCCAAAACGAAGTCAAGAACAGTTGTACAGCGCTTCGCATATGTAACGTAAGCGGTTATAACTTTCTGGAGGTTCTGACGCGTTCTGGATGCGCCATTGGCAATCGGCATTTGGCCAATACTGGGCCGTGAATGACTGTTGAGTCCAGATTGTTGACCAATCAGATCTCGCCTCGATGTCGGACCGGCAAGCGTCCCGAATCCTGGGCCAACCTCGTGCGGGTCAGGCTTATCGGCCGTAGCAGCGCCTAAAGACGTGTGGTATAGCGGGATCCGTGTGGATTCCTGCCTAACAGTGAGTCAGACTCATCTCAACAGGAGACTCAAATGAATCCCAGGGGAATCTCACGTTCATGGTTTTCTACGGATGGATAAAGACCGTCGCATGTTTTAGTTACTACGATTTTCGAGAGTTTCCAGAAAAATTATGAGAGACGAGTTCCGTCAAGACAACAATTTGTTTTTGTAGGTGCATATGGCTGCAGCCATACAACAACCTCAGTGTAATTTGCGCTAAAAGTCAGATTTTTGTGATAGGTTTCCGCCCTGTCCCATTCCCCCCCGAAATAACACCTAGTACGTTCTATTTCTCAGGTGCAAACGGACTAAATTCGACCTTCACTAGTGAATTTCCTATCTCATAATCTCTCGAAGGAATGCGTGGCTTTTTGCCCATCATCAGGCCCATACAGACACACACATGTATGTTCATCAATGTACCATACATGAACAGCTGATTATGCAATGTATGCATCCATGTGTTCATTGCAGTGTGAGACATCGTTGGGGCGGTTATTTACTTTCCAACCCACGAGTGACACGCCATAATTGAAAAGTTTAGGTTATTACGGCCAGAGAAGATTCAGCAAATAAGATAAAGGGAGGGACAAACTGGGATCAGAAAACTTGACTACACAAAAGAATAACTGCGCTCCCACCTGAATGGTGACCAATAACAGATAACCCAAGATGTTTTGAAGCGAAATCAACTCGGGCCACGAGTTTCGGATCCAAAAATTCCTGTTCTGGTGGCCTAAAACTGCCCGACATACCCGTAGGGTGAAGTCATCTTATGGGGGTGCAGGCCTCATAATGACCACAAGGTTTATGAACGAAAAATGCTGAGAACAGATTGACAAGTAATCCATCGTTTTCGGACCGCTGTTCTTAGTTGCATGAAGATGAAGGGATCCCCTGTATGGGTATTCCTGTTCAGCTGAAGCATTAACTTAGGTTGAATTTACTGGAGTGACAACAGCGAGTGGATGAGTTCAGAAAAGCCGACCATTCTATTAAGCCATAGGTTTTCAAATTTTACCAATTTTAACTGACCGAAGCGCATTATTGTAGCCGAAGGCAGAGAAACAATAGCGTATTTTGGCAGTCTTCTCACAGCATTATAGCTTTAAATTTGAGCGTGTTATACATGGGAATCTAACTTGACTGGACCAATGCGACGGTGCCCATTACTCTGAGTTAGCTTCGTGGAAGTCTTTTACGTGTTTTTTGAAGTATTTCAAACAGTTGTGTAGCTTCAATAACCTTCTGAACTTTCCAGCGCTCGGAATTTCGATAAGCTCGCAGGGTTGACAATATTCATGCCCTGTTGCCATCATGAGTTCCACAGAGGTGAGTCGTAGGTTAGAATATTGAATATATAAGCCAAAACACAGCCCGATAAACGTAACGCACTTTGACGAAACTTGAGCGTTTGAGTGTTAGTCTGGCCTAATGTTCACACACGATATCCCCTAAACGTGCGTTTGCTTCATTGTTTGCTGAATTCATGGTGGATTTCACATTTAATCTCAACTTTTAAAGCCACTCCCCATTAGCTAGCTTAATAGACGAAAGTCTTTTGTTTCCCTGACGTATTCTGTCCACAAAATCTATAAAATCATCTTTGCGCTTATGCCACGCTTCCCACAGTTTGTGAAATTTTCAATCATAAAACCACTGAAAATATTATGATAGATTGAGTTCGGAGACACCGTAACATTATTCGTTTGGTTGAAGAGCACAAAAGTGTGTGATTTATTTCCGTGATGACCAGCTATATCTTTTTCTCACAGACCACTAAAAAAATAATTAGTCAGTTGTAGATGGCTGAGGGATTAGTGAAATTCACGCTCTTTTGAATAGTCGTCCTGTTGTCTTGGCGCAATTATTTTGGTGAGTCCACACCTAAGGGGGGAAGACTGGACTAAACTCCTATTAGAACTCATCAGCAGTGCATACTTTTGGCCGTGCCAAGTTCTAAACTCCGTGCATCTGACATGCGAGGCGATTGTGTTGCAACTACTCCTCGAGCACACACTAGACGGATGTGAATTTTCACAGGTGAACATTTTTTCGTTTGAGTGATGACTAGTTAGCGCGATGGTGGGTCCAGTAACTGCCGTGCTTGTGTCAAGTGACCCGCGGTCAGCACTTTCCAGTCAAGTGGTGTCACAGACACTTGAGACCTTCTGGACATTTTTTGGATTAGTTGTGAGTACAGTTAACTCCGAGAAATTGCTTCAATATTATTGGCTGTTCGAGTGACCCTAGGGTATTCTGGCAACGCCAGGCAGTGAAGACACTTTCCACAGGCTGAATCAATGTGGGGAAGCTGTGGAAAACTCGTGCGTCTGGCTAAGCTTCAGTGCTGAAGGTCACAATGCCCAGGACGCACCAAATACTGGTAGTAGGTAACAGATGAAGTTATAGATCCTATCCGGCTAAGATGTGGAAGTGACCGGTGATCTGAGAGATTAGCACTCCTCTATGGTTGGATATATTGCCTGCACTAGTTGATACCCATCTAGTTCAATATGATTATGTGATGTGCAGGAGGTACTGACCGAAGTGTTAAGTATTAACAGGACTACTACCGGATTTTCTAATGACAATCTCGACAGAAATGCTCCAGTGATCTTATCGCTGAAATCGACAAAGCGGCTTCGTTGCACCGTAGAGCTAATTACCATTCTATTGAGCTCTGGAAACTGCCAATTTAAAATTATCTTGAAAGCTATATAAAATATCTTGAAAATAAACTGAGAAAGTACTCCAAATGACAGGAAAATGTGCAATGTTGGACGCTTGCAACTGTGAACTAAGAGGGCTTTGTTTGGTACTTGATCAGGTGGCTGTTGATCTGTTCACCGAGCTTGCAATTGATTTTGCAAACGTTTCGTCACCAATCGAGGAGGCATCTTCAGCGCACTGAAGATCAACAGCCAACTGATCAGTTACAAACTAATGCACCCGAGCTACCAATATTTCAATTTATTACCATGTTTTTGTTTACTGAGGGTTGATGTATAGAGAAAGCCCCCAGGTTAGTGTGAATCTTTCTGACTGAAAAATTACCGCATACTGAAGAGATGTATAAAGTGGCAGAAGATGGGCACAAAAATTTATTAACTCGACCTATCTACACTTTCCACCTACCTACGCATCTATCTATCTGTTTATTTAATCATCTGTCTATCTGTTTATCTACTCAAATGCCCACCTAGCAGCTTGCCTTGCTAAATATATCTACATATATGACCGTGGCAAAACTAATGCAAGTCCACAATTCCCTGTTCTCTTCCAACGAACGCTCACCTAAACTTGTATTTTCAAATTGCTTGATAATTTTGTGATAAACGAGACTGGTTTATCAAACCATACAAGTAAAAGTTCTGTTGCGATTCAAGTGGCATCCACTCACTCATCTTGGCCTTACTCAGTCAGGTAATTTTACCTACGGACCGCCCACGAATGAACTAATCTTAGCCATCTGCGAAACCGGCAATTTCTTGTAAATGATAGAACCTCGTTGGAATATTTACCAGTGGATACATCGTATCAAGTGCACATCCGAAAATAAACATACCTTCTTTGCGAAGATGTTCAAAAAGAAATCCATGCTTATGTCTGCGAAGATGTAAGGTGATCGGACTGCCAGCCGTTTTCAGAATAGAAACGGCAGTGAGGTTTTCCAATCCCAGGAGTTTTTCATTGTTCACCTGCAGAGTACATTAAGCAGTATAAACTGATGACGTCTTCATAGGACTTTTCTAAAGGTTGACGTGGAATGTAATACAACAGACTTTTTTCACTAAACTTACCCTCATCAAACTTTCATTTTTATGGCCAAGGTACTCGTGACAAAATGTGCTTCTCCTTAATGGTTCCGTTGAAATGTTTACTGTGAGATACACAAGTAATGAGAAGCTTGTGAAGACTCGTAGTCTCTCTCTGGTACTCAGCAACGAGGTAAGGCTGTCTGTCCCCCTTAGGAAGCCCATGATCGTGAGACTTCGATTGACTGGTTATCCATTTCCCAGGTTGAAGTAAAATGGGCGCATTGTTTATCGATACAGAAAACTCTTTAGGTCCACCCGATTCTTCTCAGAGTCGTTTTGAGATGACAGTACTCAATGTACTTCCTTTCATCTTCTATGCACCAGTGCGAAGTGTAATCTCTCTTAACTGATCATGAGGTATTTTGTCGGAGCGTGCGAAAAGCAAACAGTCTGTGGAGATTGGTTCTTGTTCCCTTTTGGATAGGGGAAATTTGTCCTACGGTATCCAGATATCTAGTCCGAGGCCATGTGACTTGAAACGGCCTCGATAGCTCAAACTGGTTTGTTGTACAGAGATTCTGAAAACTTCACAATGAACAACTGGTCACCTGAAAGCTTACAGGCATTAGCAACTAAACTGTTCTTCATGGTATCAAGAGATGTCCGTTAGTTCTCGGGGGATGAGTAGCCCCGTATTGATGCGCTTTGGAGGACTATTCTTACGTCGAGCAGCGAAGTGGAGCTTGAACTCCGCTCGTACCAGCAGTTGATTGACATCTTCTGCGTCTCCATAATCTGCATTTCTACAAGACTTACAACCTTCATTTGATAATGCTCACCATGCGCTCACGAGAATAAAACCTATTTAACTGGTTAGATAACCATCTTTTGATTACTGTTTTTGGGTTGCTATAAAGGCTTCTTTAATAACGAGCTGTATAAAAAAACCACTTTTATAAGGTCACCAAGTAGATTACCAACACCCCAGCAATCAGCTGACAGTTTCTTTTGTGTACTGAACACATCAGCCTGCCCAGGTTGCTTCGCAATCCGCAGCAGACATTGTATGAATGAAGATGTGTGTAGATGAAAGTAACATTGAAATTTCATAGAGTTTTGCTACGAATCATCATCATCATCATCAACATCATCATCGACAGCATGACATCAGTGTTCAACACCGATGCTTCACTGCCGTAATTGTTACGAATCACATCTATGGAACCATACGGCTCTAGGCTTTGCATAACCAGGGCAATAGAAAACATACAGAAAACATGCCACCATGTTCCACAAGCGATCACATTCATCCAGTCCACCGGAAGGGGTGCACGTTTTCACCGCTTTTGGTTAGGAATCAAAGTTTTGACAAATTAGGCTGACAGCCGGCCAAGAGTAATCGCTGAATAACAACTTTTTCCCTCTTAATTCGATAAAACGAATAATGCACCACAATAATTCATTTGATGGGACATTTGATGAAGGCCAATTAGCAGCATTCCGCTAAGGCCACAAGAATAGCGTCGCTAGTTTTCCTATTGTTCAAACGGTTGGATGAGCGAATCTCAATCGAAATGTAATCAACCTTGAAGTATTCCCTTCTTTGGTTTGAAAACAAGAGATAGTAAGTATTTTATGCATGAATAAAGCATTTTCCTCAGAGGACTTGTGCAGCTTGGTTAGGAATGACCACACTGCCGGAACATTAGTGATGAGTCAATGCTCCATTTTCCATGCAAAATAGTGTTTACACAGTTCAACAGAAGACGGATTTGTTTAGAAAATACCATCCAAGTGATGAATGGAATGAGGAGGTCCAGAAAACATTCTTTAGACTGTCCGGAAGGAAGTTTCAATCTGAAACCGTACTAGCGACTTTAACCGATTATACGAAGTTTAGTTGAACGAGTTCTCAAAAGAATCACCCACCTGAATGATCTGATCGTTCTTCCGGATCTGTCCGCATTTGTCCGCCACACTGTTTGTGGCTAGACTTTGAACGAAGATTCCACTGGTGTATTCTCCGCCTGTTGGACAGGTTTTTCGACAGGAATAACAATGTTAATACGTTGTCCCCAAAGATTTACCAAAAACTATCCTTCGAATTAACAGAGTTCAACGTAATTACAACATTTTTGTGCCTGCAGGGATCAATTCATATATATATTGCTTCTTAAATGTGGTCTGCACCGTCTTCCAGTTTGGACACAGGATGGCCAAAGGTACGTCAAACTCCTACTTGAGGTGCAGAAATACTTGAGAACCTATCATCTCACAGTGTCAACAACAAAACCAGAGAGTCAGATGACAGCTACTCACTTAGATTGTGAAAACCGGCCAGACTACCCAGTCATGAAGAAATTGAAGTGAGTAGACTCATGAAGATCTAGCCAACTATACCCATTTCTCCCAAACCGGCTATGACTTACCTTGCTAACACAGTCAATAATATCTAATGGGTTTATCTCACGCAGTAGAGACTATAGCATAGCATAGTACAGCATAGCATAATGCAGTAGGGTAAGGTAGTGTAAAATTTAGTTTGGTATGTTATAGCGCGATGTTTCGAACATTGGTAGCAAGGAAAACTTGGCCTAACGAACGAGCTGAATTTAATTCAGAGGCGTTTGGTAAGCAATAACTAGATGTATAGCTGGATAAGATTTTGCTTTTACAACAAAGATTTTATCGTGCCAGGTTGACGCAGAAGCAATCGGCAAGATCTCTTTTGACAAACACACTAGATCAGTGATGAATGCCTAAGTCTAATGACCCATGGGTTGAGGGTGATTTGGGAACAGTTCGATTGAGTCCCGTCCCCTTGATCTTCTGGTTCAGGAAGCATCCTCTTGGATGTTATCAGTAAATTTTGTTGGTCTCTATGTGTTCGTAAATGCTACGACAATGTGGCTAGAGATATCGGGTTACGTGGACTTTCGATCGTCTAACCTACTTCTGTTGATGACTTTTTGCTGATAACCGCTCTAGTCTAGAACCGTTCTGCACATTTTCGCCAGTCCCACTCCCTGTATTTTGTTCACCATGGTGATCTCCACCGCCTCCGCTATTAATCCCTAAGGCGTAAATTGTAATCCTCCCCTCGTAGATTCAGCGTCTTCTGCAGCTGTTTGGTGTCCTGTTTCTAGCGCGTCTGCCACCGCTGAGATTTTGAATAACGCTCGATATACATCGATGTTCCTCGCCGGCCTGTTTATTTATCACGTAAACTTACTGAGGTTGTGAGGTTTTCTGTCTGTTCTGTGCAAAGTTTAGTGCAGCCGCTGATCTTGTAGACGAGAGATTCATTTGAGTCTCCCAGGAAAACCAAATTGATATGCAAATAAGTGTAACAGTCGGGTCTCTGGTCCTATTTGCCTGGAGGCAATCCCTCAGCCACACCAGTTCACAGTGCGATGTTTCCGTTGGAATGCTACTCTTAAGTCAGCCGTGTTTAGGATCCAATTAATGACTTTGGATTTCATCAACAGAAGTAGATTAGCCGCAGCCGATCAAAAGTATACGTGAGAAAACCTCCCTAAGCACCCCTTCTTAGCATTCGCAATAATACAGGGATCAACTAAATACACCAATGACACCAGAAGGAGTACAAATTGAGGAACCCTGGTCATGGGGCCAAACCTGGCCAAAGTTATTCAGAATCATGGATCATAAGATCCATGCACCCACGTTGACTGGAATTCAACACAGATCTAGTTTACTGGTCGGAAGAGACCTCGATGATTGCTCCTCTGTCGGCCTTAAAACTCGGCCAAAGTGGCAATCTACTTACAAGTCATGACAAAGATTTTGTGTCTAAAGCGAAACGTTTCCAAACTATAACTCTACCAATTCTTTACAAAGCCTTTTTAGAACGGTGATGCTGAAACGGTTCCAAAGGTTTTTAATCCGCTGAGATCAAGTCATCTTTATTGCCGTTCAGAACATACCATCGTCACACGTTAAACTATACGAGTGTGGCTGCATTCCTTGTTTGTTCGTTTAGAATGATACAATCAACTTTGGTGATTCGAGCTGAATTGTTTATATCGATTATTTATCACGACTGGGCACGAAGGGGCCATCCGAGTAAGTGATGCTCAGATCGATTGGCCCGTCAAATCGAGCGGAAAGAGATTTGAAAGATTTCAGCTATTACCACACTCGTTTTAACCTCTATTTTATCTTTCTCAGTGCAGTTTTGAAAACAAATATTAGCCGAGCAGAAAATAGGGAGAATAAGAATTATGAGTGTTTAATAGTAATCGGAGTACACAGTATGATGATATTTAGAGTCTTAGAGACAGTCATTGTAAGCTCCATCGTTGAAGCCATGTAGATGCCACGTATCAGCCAATTAGAAGAGTGTGGAAGATCACTACAGAATCGAAGTGTGCATAAGCGATGTCTTATAGCGTTTGCAGTCGCTTAGTCGGCAGAGCGCTGGCCCGACTTGCGGTTCGTCATGAACTCCATCCGTCTGGATAATTCATACTTGAGTTTCTCTTCAAAATCAGTAGTATGTGTCAAGAAAACCCAAATGTAGCTTACTCTTTGCAGGGTCGCGGTAAACATATCCTACAACTGTCAGTCCGAGGCCTTCGTCTTTCGGACGTTCGAGAATCACACTGAGTTGTTCAAAGTCAGTTGATGCGAGACCCGATGTCTTTTCCAACGGTGAAATAGACCCGATATTTTCTTTTCTGTCTTCAGCATTTTCTCGAGTCAGCATCGGTGACGAAGGACAGTGAAGTTTACTGATAAGTTCATCTACAATTTAAAAAGCAAAGTTTTCAATCTAGGGAGTCCACGATCGACTTTCGTTCAACTGCCTGTTCAAAGTGGAAGACGACGTGATTATCAGCAAGCGCATAATGCTGAAACTCAACACGACGTAGAAAACCATTACCAAACTGTTTAGCTATGTCTATTCACTCAAAAAATTCCCTCACTTTTATAATTGTTCGAGCAAGATTAGGATACAAAAATACCGGATAAAACAGCGACCAAGGAAAAAGGTGTCACAAGGAGCTATTCGTCCGCGATGAATTCAACTCGCCAGTTACTTAAATTTAACAAGAATAAGTCGTTTGCAATTCGGATAGATTCAGATGCCAAGCATTGCGATGAAATCCAGCATGTTCCACAGTATTGAAGAAAAATTTGCTTCTTGGTGGACAGACCTTTTGTTTGGTTGTCTAAAACGAAATCCACTTGCTTAAGGGTGGCTGAAAAGCTCTCTATCTTGCAGATGGCATGATCTGGCATCAGTCAATTTTCAATCTGCAGTTCACGCCACGTGGTACTGACTGGTCCTCGAATAATGACTTCTTGCAACACAGGGGATTTCATTCCTTGCGAAAGAGATTACGCAGATTTCAAGGAGAGTGAAGAGATTTTGCAGTTTTAGAGGAAGGTTTCATCCCAGGAGCAACGAGGATCCATTGAACAAAGTCTCCATATCCCATCCCAAACTCGTCTTTAAGCCACATCCACCCTTCTTATGATATCCTTTTATAATTCAGCAAAGGAGTGAAGCCACTTTCGTTCCAAAGAATACTAATCCCCCAGTCCCCATCACCAGGTTTAGCTTGGAGAGTGGCCTTCCTCAGCGTTCCCACCTAAACACTATTCATCTTGAACCGGGACGAAAAGTATGCGGTAAAAAACGAGGGGTCTTGTTCCATTCACAAAAATCCTGCCCTGTTGGGAGGGCAGTTTTCAGTTCCTCCATCCTGGAGCACAGCGTAGTCTGCTAGGATTTTCCATCACAATGGGCCATGACACGTCGTTGAGACAATAAAGTGTGCTTTTATGGATTCCTCAGCATCAACCGGATAACTGATCGCTTGAATGAAATGTGAATTCACACCACTGTGGGTGGGCCAAGAATAAGCTAGGATTCCAGACATCCACAATTGGGGTAGGCTGAGGGTTATATGACATCATGAAAGTAACTTCCTTCAAGGTAGTGCGAAATGAGCCCTGTACCACTGTTTAGACTTCTGTTATCATTAAATCTTTTTGAATAACAGTTATCGCCATGACTTTTCGGTCTACTTTGCTCACTCTCGGCCTGTCAAATTTCATTGTTGTCAACCTGAAAATCCGGTTGCCATGGTTACTCTTGATAACCACCGAGTGAAGTTCTAAACTACGTGACCGTAGTTTTCCTGGGACAGAAACCAGACACTGATTTAACTCCACTTTAAACTCACTGGACCGCTGTCATGGTAATTCACTAATGCTAACGATGCAAACACATCACCCTCACCGACTGACCTCAATAACTTGCTCATCTAAAGTGGCTTTTTTCAGCACAAAACACATTATTTGAATTGGTATTTGGAGAGAAAGTTTCACCAAACGGGACTAATTTGGGTACCAGTAAACCCATCATTTCAAACCAACCGAATACACCTCGCAACTGAGCACATGGGCGTGTCACCCCGGTAGAACATCATTGGTGACTGAGTTTAGAACCCGCTCTTCTGTATGAAAGTAGTTCACCTATCCCGGTTTACTGAGACTCCTGGGTTTATGCTGATGGACAACTCATGAGCATGTATTGCAGCTGAGTATCTTCTGGATGAAAGACCAATCTGAAATGCCTGTGGGGTGAGGTAATTTACCATACGGTTCTTTGCGAAACCATATCCCGTGGCTTAAAGAGACGCATTACTTAAAGCCAGAGAAATCAGTTCAATACTTGCAACAACTATTTATGATGATGATGTTGATTGATGATGTTGTTGATGATTGATTGATGTTGTTTCAAAGATCCCATTCAAGCACTTGGCTCTATCGAAGTTGATACAGGTTATGTGCGGTATATGCTTTTGGAAATATCAAGAACAGCCTACTACAGATGAGCAATCGGAATGTTCATCTAACCGACCACCAGAATTCACTGTGGACCTGATTGTCATCAAACCACGGGGTTGAAAAATTTACACCTTGTTAATAACCAAGACACGATCAGAGCCCCAGAACTTCAGTTGTTCGAGATCTTTCTTAATTATCACAAAGGTAGTTAACCATATGACCGCCAGCCACTGTCCAACATGTGTTCATGTACGGTGGTAGGACCCGCAATCTCAAGGCTAATAACCCGAAACTTTCATCCAAATCATCATCTGACAACGATTCTCTGCACCCATCCTATGGATCGATCCAAAATCGCTTTTTGGGCTCGCTCGCGGTTAGGTTAAGGCAGTGGTTACCCGGCAGAATGGTGTTTTTCATTGTTCTCTAAAATCCGTTTTGCCTACATTGTAGTATACTAGTGTACAATTATGGACTGTAATTTTACGTACCATACGGTCTCCTGCAGAGAACCAACTACAATATTTCGGATGTTTCAGAGTGATAATCCTACGACTGTACCACAAGTAGCCTTTTGCGACCATCGTAGAACAAACCTAGCTGTTTGATCACCATCGCCAGCTGGCTATATATATATTTTCCGGAGTAGTGAT